AGCTTTAGTTTTGCTAAATGTAAACCTGTATGCACAGAATTTGTTTTACTGATCGTTGTGGGTTGAAAATTCCTGTTTTTGATTGTCTTTGCCATCTTTTTTTGTTTTGAATGGAAAACAAAGCCCCTTGCTGCCATGAAGTGACTTAGATAGGTTAGGAAGTACGATGAACAAGTTCTTCATGTAATGTTGTTCTCTGATTCTTGTTTTTGGTTAATTTAGGAATGACTGCACCTCAAGCTGCTGGGGTCATCCACTCTGACTTTGAGAAAGGTTTCATTCGAGCTGAGACGGTAAGAATCGTAGATAGAAGTTGACAAGTTGTATCAGTTAATATTGGTAAACTCATTGTTTTATAATTTCATTATAAAACATCTTACCTATTTGTTAAAGTTTTTAATAATGTTACTAGAACTAAGAGATCCTGGGCTTGCACATTACTTAAATGATACGTGGGAAATATGAAAATAATAACAATTCTTGTCCTTTGTTGTTAGGTGGCTTATGATGATTTTGTCGCTGCTGGTTCGCTTGCTGCAGCAAGGGAAAGAGGAGTTGTAAGTTTGCTGCTTGTTATTAGATTTAATTCTCATGTTAGCTAGTAGTAACACGTATAAATTCTTTCCAACTCTGGTCAGCATTCGGGTGCGAAGCAATTACCGCATGATTAGTTAACATTCTATTTTTGAATGTAACTTAGAGCTGTATCTAAGGAAGAGAGAGGTCTTAGATTGCTTTCATCTAATCAATATTTACTTCAGTAAACTTCTTAACAAGCTCATATTGATACATGGAAACACCTCGTCTTCCTAAGTAGGGGGGACCAACTTGATGTTGCTTACTTCACAAGATGGACGATGTTGATCTACATTCAAGTCCTAAGTTTGGTATGGTGAAGTATTATTTTGTTATACGTCGAAAGTACCATAAATTTTGCTTGAAGAGTAAATAGCTCAATCGACTGTTGAGATTTTGGAACACAATTTTGAAATCCTACTAGACTTTACTCTATTTAGTACCATCACTTTAATTGTAGCCTTTATGTATTCTATATACAGATAAATGATCCGGAAAATGTTTTGGGCAATTTCTCCCTATCACGCTTCGTCTCGTGTTTATAGGCTCGTGTTTTAGTCCTACATGATTTCACTGGGTTCCTCATGATGTCGCAAGTGAACTTATGCTCAACATTTTTCCGCAGAATTTAAATCAATTTCTGTGTAGGAGTTATTTTACAAATGTAACATTACATTGTAGTGCAAAAAATTCTTAAGCAATAAGCAACGAAGATCGGACGTCGCTATCGACAACTAAGAATAATTTGTCTCTGTGTTTGGTTTGAAATGGAGGGGTTTTGATGATGTTGGCCAACAAATGGCACATTGATTAATCTCTTGGCCCGGCTACTACATATATACACACTCGGAAGTTTGGAGAAAGAAACCATTCGTTGCTTTCCAAATCACACAGCACTTTTATGTGACCTGGCCCCACTTGCATTAATTATTTTATTATGATCAAGTGGTTCTTTTTACGTGGGACGAATGATATGATGATACGACTTGAAACCGATTCAAAATCTACGAAATAGTATTGAACATGCATGAATGTGTCTGTGCAACGATAGTGTTGGTCGAATAAACATTGTTGCTAATTAATAAGTGAAATGTGTCTAGGACAAAAAACTTGACGAGGGCACATACCTTGGTCCACGTCTACACTTAAGGTGCCGCATAGAGTTTGTGCATTCAGAATATGAAAGTTTTTCTCCATATCTAGGGTTTAATGTCTAAGGATTATTATACAAAATAGTCTTGAGATTTGCATGATCAATAGAAATGGTTTCTGATATTGAAAATCAATAGAAATGGTCCCTGAGATTGTCCACCATTCATAATTTTAGTTCTTCCGTTAAAAACTCTATGGGCAATTTTCAAAACTTCATAACTCAATCGATTCTTAACCAAATTCGACCCATAATATATCAAAATGAAAATAAGAAAGTGTAGAACAAGATTATACCTATTTGGAAGCCAAATAATAGCCAGAAAATAGCCTGAAAGGTGATTGATCCGCAGGAAAACTGGAAAACTTGCCGGAAACTAGGTAAACTTTAAACGTTCATAACTTCTTCAATACTCAACAAAATCAAGCGATTCAAAAACGAAAATCATACTTCTCAACGAGACGAAGAGAATGATATCTTTCGTTATTTATAACTCGCCGTGGTTTGGCCGGAAAACTCCTCGAAAGTGGCTAACTCGAAAATGGTTAGCCACTTTCGAGCCGTTGTCCAACCAAACCACGGCGAGTTAGCCTTCAAAAAAGGTATTATTCTCTTCATCTTGTCAAGAAGTATTATTTTCATTTTTTGAATCACTCAATTTGGTTGAGTATTGAAGAAGTTATGAACGTTTAAAGTTTACCCAGTTTCCGACGAGTTTTTCAGTTTTCCTGTGGACCAGTTATCTCAGAGACCATTTCTATTGATTATTTAAATCTCATAGACCATTTTGTATAATAACCCTATGTCTAATCCGAAAACAACGCGGATTAAATTATTATAGATTTAGTAACTCAAAATACATGCATCTCAAATCAAAACGAGTATGACAAACAGTTTATTAGTGGGAGATTCACTACTAATCTCACTAATGCCTATGATCAAATCTCACATGTAGCAATCGGTGGGAAGAAAGTTGAGGTTCCACCATAAAACCAATTGGCAATATAAGGAGTAGTCCAACTTACTTATAAGCCTATGCAAAATCTCTCTTCCTATCAATGAGGACTTATTCTCAACACATTGATGAGACTCATTCTCATCACATCACCTCACGTGTGAGAATTTTCAAGCCAACACACGTAGACAACATAAATGGGATGACATGGAGCGCACGTGTGGCCGTTGGGCTTCACACGTGGGACATCATGCTTTAATATCATAAAGAAAGTTGAGATATCACCATAAAACCAATTAGAAATACGGTGAGTAACCTAATTTACTTATAAACCCATGTAAAGTTTCTAACAAAGTGATTGAGTTAAAAACCTATGTCTGTGATGTTGGTGTTCGTGTTCGTGTTGATAACATTAGTGGAAAAACATGCATCCCAAATCAAAAGGAGGATGACATGTCAATCAGAACAGGAGAAAGAAATGCATGGAGATGGAGTCATTTCAACTGGATCATGATAAGATGCTTTCAATAATTGGTGAGTGGCTAGCATGTGTTCCGGTATTTGTCAAGACTCAGCAACAACAAGCAGTTTACTACCGCTTTACACGACACAATACATCAATGGTGGAATCCAGCTAGCTTAGGAGAAGAAAATGATAACACATGTATCTGCATTTTTCATTCCTAATCAACACTTGGTCCATCTTAATTGCATTATTAACTCCAAGGGTCCCATGTAATCACTCATTTTTATTCGACAAATAGTAAGATAATTACATTAATTTTATTTAAATTATAAAAGAGGGATTTGAACTTGAGCGAATAGGATCAGGATTCTCTCCTGAGCAAAGGGTGAGGATCCTCCTAACTAAGCTCATCGAGCCGTTGAAATTTTATCCAACGGCTATAATTATTATAACTTTTAGAGGGGCCCCTGTTTGTATTAGTTCGAGGGAAATCATTCAATACTACGTAGTATTGAATGATACCGAAACTGAACGGCTAAGATTGAAAATAAAAAATTTAGTAGTTGTGAAAATCAAATCTAACGACTATAACAGTCGTAAATTTAGTAGTTGTTAATTATATTTTGCTTGTGATTTATTGTTATCTTTGAAGTGACTGAGACCTGGTTTGATACCGAGGTGATTCTGAAAAAAGCTGTGAGCTTTTTTGTGTTTGGTAAACATTCAGCTTCAGCTTTTTTTCACAGTTTTGGGTGAAAAAAAGCCAAAAACAAGAAGCTGCAAAACCCAGCTTTGAAAAATCGGTTTTTTTTCACATCTGTTTTACATAAAAGTTTACCAAACACTATAATACGGTTTTTTTTTTTTTTTCAAAAGCACTTTTACAAAAAAGTTTACTAAACACTCTGCTGCTTTATTTCACAGCCGCTTATTTTCACAGCACAGCAGAATCAATTTTTTTTCAAAGCACAGCAATACCAAACCAGCCCTTGGTAGTATTTGGCCAAGTGAATAATCCACCTGTATATAGAACCATTGGGGGATAAGATGAGGTGCTGGCTGGTGATTTCTTTTCTGATCATGACGTTTGTTATTATCCAAGAAAGAACAGACGTGTGAAGAGATATCGCATTTTTGTTTAATTTTCTTCGACTTTAATCCTATTTATTGACACATGATTGATTATTTAAAGTGTAGAATCACCCATATACAGTTTGATTTTAGAATTTAGCCCTAGATTGTTTAAACATAAATCATGCTCTAAATGGTCATTCTATTTCGTAAGCAGTCAATCATGCCTACAAAAGGATCACAGCCGAAGAAAAGTAGCCAAAGTGAAATTTTCTCAAAGCATCCGTTCTTTCTTGTTCTTCAAGAATTAATGATACCACGTCTTTGTCTAGCTAGCGTACACTATTTAATCCATCATTGGACATCCTAAATAATCAATCATGTTAATAAAATGAATCAAAACTAAATAGAATCGAGTAAACGTGAGATTTTCTTAATGTTTGAGTTCTTTAAGAAGGAACATGTCTTTGGCTAGCTACCTAGTACCATACGTGCTTGGTGCCTTGACTAGCTACTATAGCTCTATAGCGACAAGAGCTTGTGCTTGCTTCACTGTCTACTGTGCCCAGGTGTGTAAAAGATGCCCCTACCACACCAGGCACAACATTTGTATTCAACAAAAAAGATGACTTGTTTTTGTCACTAAAAAAGATGTTTGGTTGCAAATTTATAGACCCCACATCTTTTCGAGTACCGGAAAACAACGACTTTGCACCAACTCAATCCAATCCTCACATCTTAAATCCTACTTCTGTGATTTCATGAGTGTCTCCCAAGCTTCCTTTATATTTCCAATCACCCTAATTACTTCTCCATCAAAATTTGACGCCCCATCTCTCTCTCTCTCTCTCTCTGATCGATCTTCGATCCAAAACAATTAGGCTTTTAAGGATGAAGAAGATGAATTTTCTGATACGGAAGTGCAAGAGCTTGTCAAGACAGCTAGGGCGATCTTCATCATGCGGTAGCCTAAGGTCGAAATCTGCGAGGGAGAATATATGTGTGCATGATAGTCATGAGCTTCATCATCATCAAACTGTAATATTCGTGGGAAGCACGAGGAAGCGTTATGTGATTAGCTCGAAGTACCTCAACCATCCGTTGTTAGATGCCTTGATCGACAAGTCACCGAAGCAAAAACGAGGAGAGGAGAATGGCATCTTGGTAAACTGTGAGGTGGTTTTGTTTGATCACTTGTTGTGGATGCTGGAGAATAATGCAGAAGATCCCAGCTTTGGTAGCACTTCAGAGTCATTGGAGGAATTGGCTGCCCTCTATGTGTTCTGATTAATTAGGGTTTGATCTGCTAATTCAAAGGTCATCCCTTTGCTGTTATTGATTATTGTGCTTAATTAAATTTTTTTTGTTCTAACCACATCGCATTTAATTTGGTGGATCATGCTAATACGATTGTATTTGTGATTAGTCATGGGGTTATGATGTTGTACTCTATCAATATTCTTGAAATTCTCTCATAAATAAAAATAAATGTCCCTAAGGATCTCTTGGAATTTTACAATAAAGCATGTTAAAGTGATTCGACTATGTTTTGAAATTTGGGAGGAGAGATTTTTCAGTATAACTAGAATACAGGGCGATATTGTCACATGTAATTATATAATTGGAGGAATATTTGAAAAAAAAATTTCTCCAAATGTATAATGACATGTGACATACCGCACCATGTGCTGATCACAGTAAAAGTCTCTAATTGGGGAGTGTCCAATATAATTGGTCGTATTCTCGCTAAAAACAAATATGAACATTATTATTGCTAGTCTATTATAAGACTTAGCCCACTCTCCCATCTCTTTAGTATAAATATATTATTTGTTAAAAAAATAAAAAATAAAATAACAACTCTCGAATAATTAATTAAGAAGTCTACAAATTTCATTATTGTGTAACTCTTGTAACTCATCATGAAGTGAGAGACCTTTGGTGGTTATTGTGGAGCCAAAAATAATCAAGAGGCGACATGTGGATTTTTGGGATAAAATGACAAAATTACCCTCGAGGCACACTAGGTTTCCTATGCGCGAGCAGTGGGCAAACATCTTGCAACCAAGCCAAAAGTGCCCAAAATAGGTAACAAATTCAAAATTATTTCATCCATCCTCATCTTATATTCCCTACAAGGTATTTACTCCATAACCTTCAAAACATTCCATATAAATTGAGTTAATTGGCCAATTAATGGATTTATTACCTAATTAATCCATTAATTGCCAAATAACTCACCAATTACACCCCAAAAAACACCCAAAGGCTGACCACTCTCTCTCCCAAAGAGGGTCGGCCATGCTCTATAAATTGGATCTCATTTTCTCTAAAAAGCTAAGTTACACACTCTTGTAAAACTTCCAAAAACTCTCCATACACTTTTCTTTCTAAATTCTAACTTTGGCATTGGAGGTTCTTCAGCCAAAGCCCCCCCATTCATCGTGGGTGCATGAGGCTCTTGGCCTTGACCAAAGGTGTTGATTGTTTTGTAGGTGCAATTTTGATCAAAGGTGTTGATTGTTTTGTAGGTGCAGTTTTGTAGGTGAAATTTTGTAGGTGGAGCGGCAAGGTCAATAGTGTCACCACCACGACCTGAGCCGTGCCATCCAAGGCAGTTCACGGCACTAAGGCCACGACCCAAGCCATGTCACTCCACGCCCAACACGTGCCCAACGCGTTGCCAAACCGAGCCCAAGCCTCGCACCTGCATGCATCATACACCGAGCAACCTATTCCTGCGGCCTAGCTTGCTTCCGCCGAGCAGCCCACTTTCGTGGCCCAGCCTGCTCCCGCAGCATTCCAAGCAGCCCAAATCGGCCGAAGACTATCTCAACCATACAGAGCCTACCACACTTCCACTACTCAAGGAGACATATTCCTTCCAAGTTCTTCCAATCCAAATGGGAAACAACATTTGTCTCGACAAGTCATAGAGTTGACGAGTGCCCTTGCAAAACAGACAACCTCGGTGAATCAACTCTTGCAACGCACCGAGATCCAATGTGTCCCGGACGAGGTGTCTTGAAAAAGGACAAGGGCAGAAGAACCTCTCCACCAGTGTCCCGACAAGCAGCTACTTGACCAGTCACGAACCAAGCGTTCTAACAGAGTACATTCCCGACTAGACCCCCGAGATAGCATATACTACCGTCTTAGTGTGTGGAGGAGCGTGCACTTTCAGTTAGGCCTACGGACAAACATACACTCACGTTTGGGGCCACACTCCGATAATCAACATGAGCAACCTTCTAGGAGAAGTGTTCATTCGCGACAAGGCCCACAAGGAGCATCATCGACCTCACATCGGAGTAGGTATCACAGCGGATAAAGAGAAACAGTCACTCAATCCGGCTCAAGTATAACCAGCAGCCTACGAGTTACCCGCTCGCCTGCTAGGACATAACACACCCACCGCAACCGTGGCATAGACATGCTGAACACATGGAAGAGCAGCCTAGACCAGCAGGTCACGATCGGGGGCAGCCAAGAGCTCTGCCACCTTAAACAAAGACAAATTCAGGAAGAAGTATAAAGGTTCTTGACCAAGTGATTGCGCAATTTCCTGCGCAACGAAACTATTGAAAAAGCGTTCCGATGAGACATAACCAACATAAACGAGTCATCTTTCAATGACAAGATCGAGCAGATGAGACTACCCCATATAGATTGCTGGATATAAAGATTATTTCTGTTTCGACAAATGTAGCAGCTCAACCTAATAGCACGACGGGGGCAGACGAGTACCAGAATGACACACCAGCCCAACTACCAACAACCGGAGGCAGGCTAAGGATTATTTCGGTTGTCCCAATAGTCCAACTTTCTTCAGCTACACTCATGACAATGATTTCCATGCTCTCCAGTGCGAGAGGAAAAACTAATTGCTCTCCAGTGTGAGAGGGTAAACCAATTCCCTGACACCCAAAAGGGTTTGCTCTCCAGCATGAAAGGATAAACTAATTGCTTTCCAGTGTGAGAGAGTAAACAAATTCCCCGACACCCAAAAGGGTTTGCTCTGCAGCGTGAAAGGATAAACTAATTGCTCTCCAGTGCGAGAGGGTAAACTAATTCCCCGACACCCCTATGGGTATGCTCTCCAGTGCAAGAGGATAAACTAAATGCTTTCTAGTGCGAGAGGGTAAACTAATTGCTTTCCAATGCAAGAAGGTAAACTAATTCCCCGACACCCATCTGGGTAAGCTTTCTAGTGCGAGAAAGCCATATGGCTCAAAGGATTGAATGCTTGAAGATCGAGTAGGAAGCAAAATGGTCAGGGGGCAGTAGCCACTTTTTTGCACTCAACAATTCGCTCATCCAATACTTTATCTTCAGCAGCTCCAATCTTGGCAGTTCCATCCTTGATTGCTCCATCTATGGCAACTGAGAAATCAAACTCAAGCAGTTTCCTCATTTCCGACAAGCAGCCCAAACCGTAACCCATGCCACGCCATTTCCTCAGCCCATGTCGAGCCAATCCTTGACTTCAATTAAGCTGAGCAGCACAAACAATGGCCCCTGCCACACCACCTCCTTGGACCATACCAAGCCGACTCTTGGCCCATGTCAGCTGGCATGCCGCACCACCCCGACGGTTGCACCACGACAAGACTATCCAAGAAGAAGACAAGGAAAATTAAATTTTTTACATTAGTGCGGCGCGGAGACGAAGCAAGCAACGAAAGACGATCTTTTGCAAGGGCAATATGTAGAAGATTGCTAGAGAAGGGGGAAGAAATATCCTCTAAGCTTTCTCTTTCTTGTACGGTAGAATAAATAGCTCTCCAAAGTTAATTTAACAACTCACTTAAGGTGGACTTAAATAGACTTTGAGAGGAATTTATTTTCCTATCCTAGAAGGATCTAATTTCATGTTAAAGAGGGAATCTACATCAAAATAGGAACCGATCCTAAGTTTCCTAGAGCAAGATCTCTACACCTGCTGCCCTTTCCTACGAGTAGACCAGCAGGTATGGGGGCATTTATGGAGCCAAAAATAATCAAGAGGCGACATATGGATTTTTGGGTAAAAATGACAAAATTACCCTCGAGGCACACTAGGTTTCCTATGCGTGAGCAATGGGCAAGCATCCCTCAACCAAGCCAAAAATGCCCAAAATAGGTAGCAAATTCAAAATTATTTCATCCATCCTCATCTTATATTCCCTACAAGGTATTTACTCCGTAACCTTCAAAACATTTCATATAAATTGAGTTAATTGGCCAATTAATGAATTTATTACCTAATTAATCCATTAATTGCCAAATAACTCACCCATTACACCCCAAAAAACACCCAAAGGCCGCCCACTCTCTCTCTCCTAAAGAGGGCCGGCCATGCTCTATAAATTGGACCCTGTTTTCTCTAAAAAGCTAAGTTACACACTCTTGCAAAACTCCCAAAAACTCTCCAAACATTTTTCTCTCTAAATTCTAACTTTGACATCAGAGGTTCTTCGGCCAAAGCCACCCCCCATTCATCGTGGGCGCATGAGGCTTTTGGTCTTGACCAAAGGTGTTGATTGTTTTATAGGTGCAATTTTGTCAAAAAATGAGAAGACGAAAATTTGCATCCACAGTTATTAACTAAGTGGTGATCCTAGAGTCGTGTTGTGCATATAGATTTGTTATACACTAATTTTGTTAAGGCTTGTTGTGTAGGTAGATTTGACAAGGGCTTTATTCTCCTTAACTCCACTAATCTACTCCTGAAGAAGAATCAATCGCCGCCACGTTTCTGCTGGACTGCTTCTACGGGTTGTGGCAGAAGAAGGCCAAGATTCTATTTCTGGGTTTGGATGGCGATTGGGATGATCTGGGGACTGGGTTGCCTTGGACAGAGAAGAAAGATGGGAAGGGAGAGAATAGAAAAATAGAGAATTGTTATGAAAAAAAAAGAATGCAGTATACTAATAATATAAATGAAATAATATAATATTAATATATGTAGAGTAAATAATATAATATTAAGATTTGTTAATTATTCTGTTTTTTAGTCCGACATTGCATCAAACGCTTCGCTAAGTCAGTCTAGCTTAGTCTAGTCTAAGCCAGTCCAGCTTGGTTTTTGAAGCTAATCAAGTTCGAAATAATCCGGTACAACAAACGCACAGGAGAGTATAACTATCGCCTGCTCCATGTCTCTGTCGTCAATTCAGCAGAGAATTACATCAAAACTAAGTAAACAGTCAATGAGGCTTAAACCACTGGACCTACACTTGCTCAGTTACTTGTTTTGGTTACAACCTTGCTCAACTCTGTTACAAGAAGCAAGTAGTTCATATTCACCAGGAGTAGAAACGTGTAGAATGTCATCGGAATCAAGCGCAGCTGCAAATTCTTGTGGTAACTCGGACAGATGAGACTCTCCAGATACACATCAGCACAGAATTTATCCGGGAGGCCATCTGTCAAGAAATTTTTGCAAGCCCCATTTGGTTTGCACAGAATTTATCCGGAAGGATATCTTGTTATCCTTCCAGTAACATAATGGCTTCAAAGAAGTAGACGAATATGATTCGGCTATAAATATTCTACTCCACGACTCCTTCACACCATAATCGTTCATAACCCAAAATGAGTATTCCCTATCATGCTGGTATGGTAAACAAGACTCCCTCCCAGAACACCAGTTGTAAACGTCTGATAAGCAGTGACAGATTTAGGTGCGGGCAAGTCTAAGAACTTCTCCTCCGCCAAATCAAAAGCAGCAATGATGCAGTTACCACCATCTTCAAGGCGCGTCCACAAAACCAGCGGACAGCTTCATTGAGAAACGTCCCTGAACCCTCCAAATGATGTTTGTAAGGACAATCTTGAACCTTTTCCATGAATTGCTTTTCAATGAAAAAATGAGAACCATGCATCCATAAGGAATTGTGACAAACTTGTAATCATCAACAGAATGAGCATATCCAAAACCGTATGCATGATGGAACCCCACTTCTTGAGGTTGCGGAGGTTCAGTAATGACAATGACTCTGATTTTATGAAGCATGAAGACTAGATCGAGTGTTTTATGAAGTTGGTCCTTGTGTCTGACTTTTCAGTGGGGAATTCATGCGAGGTTTTGTGTCTGTTTTTTTTGTACGTAATCCTGCACGTTCGCGTTTATCTCCTCCACGTTTGAATTTTTGAATTACCATTTTGTTCCTATTTTACTTGGGTAGTTGTTCATTGTTCTTCACTATCAAAGCCAGGGCATGATTGATAAAATGAAGCTTCACCATTTTGTTGCTCTCAAATTATATATATATATATATATATATATATTTTTTTTTTTTTATTGTCAACTGATAGATTTGTTAAATTAGATATTAGATTAGATGTTAGATGAAGCTGGTTCGAACTCAGTGTAAGGACAACACTCAACTGCACCACCGAGATATTAAATTAGATGTTAGATTAAGCCGACGGGGTTGGAACCCAGTGTAAGGGTAACACTTATCTCCACTACTGTAATAAATGGCCGCTTACTCTATATATTTAAACTACATATTAATAAGACCTTGTTTGTCAATCAAAATTCTTAACGAATTATCACTCTAACCCTCTCATCAGAACTGAACAAAAATAAATTTAATTATTTTTTATTACTAACATCACAGCTATATAAATATAGCATATCCAATTTAAAAATTAAAAAATACATAAATAAACCCCACTTTTCTTCATCTTTCTATATTCCCCGTGTTCTCTTACCTTCTCTCTTCCTTTTTTGTATTTATCATTTTCCTTTTTGAGTTGTTATCAGTACTCATTAATGATAAGTCATACTAAAATAAAAAACAAATTTAATTATAAATGTGCAACGTCTGTGCCAATTGCTAGTATAGATTATTAGATCAGACATCCTCGTGAGGAAACCTCTTCATGTGAAGAAATTTCTCAGTATTTTAGGAACAATAATTGATACAGTAAATCTCATAATATTAATGGTTGAATTTTTTTTCGAATATTCAACCATTTTTATCATGACATATAGATTACTAGACGGTATTTCCATTCCACTGAAAAATTCCTATATCCCTTGCAAAAGGGCCAAAAGCCGCTTTCATTTATTTCGTCGTGTGATTCGACTTGACGTCATTTTCCCTTCTTTTGTTGACTTCGTTTTTATTTCTTTATTTCTTTCCATTTTCCGGAGCGAGAGAGAGAGACTGGTCCCCAAAACCCCAAATAGAAGTATGGAATGAGAGTATTTGGCGGTGCCGATTGAGATAGAAGAAGAAGAAGAAGCCCAAGGCACGAGCTAGCAGAGAGAAGGAGACGGAGAGAAAGATTGGCACTGTCACTGGATTTGCAGAAGAAAAAAAAACCCCACCCTTGTTTTCTGGGTATCGTCACATATTTTTCCTGCTAACCCTCTCTCTCTCTCTTTTGTTGCAAAATTTTGCGTTTTTATCCTTTTTTTTTTTTGGGTGATTAATTTTGCTTCGTCTCTATTGAAATGGGTTTACCCCAAATTATGTTTAATTTCTCTGATTATAAAGCTATTTAATTTATATGATTATACAGACCCATGTTTAGTTCCTGAATTAAGAAACCAAGTTATAATCTGGATAAAGTACTCAACTTCAGGCATCTATGCCGAAATTTTGCTATAATCTGTTTAAATCCTTTGTGAAAATGTTTTCATTTCAAATTACGTGTAAGTTTTTTCTTGTTGTAAAGTTAGGTAATTTTCAAATATATGGGTATGGAATTGTTTAAAAGTTTGTAAGGACCCATGGTTAGTTATCGATCTAGAAATAAAGTTGCAAATATCTTGGTGTAAGGACATCGATTTTGGAGCTCCCATCTTTGCCACCTGCACTCGAAACTGAATTTTGTGTAAGTTGGGTTTGTTCTTTTTTCTGCAGAGGAGAAGGGAACAAGGAGTTTGAAAATCACTAAGCCATTGCCAAGTACTGAACTTTTAGGCATCAATGCAAAACCTGTTTTTGACCCCGAAAAAAATGTCAAACGGCCCAAACCTTTCAGAAGATATCATTGAAGACATTCTCTCTAGACTTCCTGTGAAGTCTGTGTGTAGATTCCGGTGTGTATCGAAGTTATGGCTCCATCTCACCACTCAACCCCACTTCATCCAAGCTCACCTGAAGAGAACCCAGAGTCGCAAACTCCTTATCAGTTCTACAAATTCTCTCTTCTCCTTGGACCATCTCGCACCTATAGATGATGATTTGTTACCCCTGGAGCTTGATTTTCCACTCAAGGGCGGCCAACCCCTCCTTCCTTTGATCCAAACCTTTGGTTCGTGTAATGGATTGGTCTGCATTATGCCCGTGCCAGAAAAATTCTTTATATTCAATCCTACCACCAGAGATTGCTTGAGGGTACCGGATTGCCCCATGCCGATTCATGTTTGTCCTGGACAAGACAGCCGTAATGGTTATCATAGGCACAGTTTTGGTTATGCTCCTTCTATCAATGACTACAAGTTTGTGAAGGTTGCTTATGGATGCATGGTGCATGTGTTTTCACTGAAAAACAATTCATGGAAAAGGGTTCAAGATTTTCCTTACAAACATCTTCTGGACGATTCCACAACATTTCTCAATGGAGCTGTGCACTGGTTATGTGACCCCGTCGGAGTTGGAGCTACCTATGTCATTGCTGCATTTGATTTAGCAGAAGAGAAGTTCTTAGACTTGGCACCACCTGATTCAGTCACAAATCATACTAGATTTACGATTGGCGTTTTGGGAGGGTGCCTTTGTTTGCTACACAAGAGCAGTATGAAGCAACACTCGTTTTGGGTCATGAAAGAGTATAATGTGAAGGAGTCTTGGACGAGGATCTTGATCACTGACTCATATTTTTCTCTACAGCCGTTGTGTTACTGGAAGGATGGCAAGATATTACTGGTGAGAAATCGAAAGCAATTACTACTGTGCAACACGAAGAACGGAACTTGTAAAAAGTTCTTGGTAAATGGCCTTCCGTTTCCCATCTTTGCTGACGTGTATGTGGAGAGCCTGGTGTCTCCAAACTTTCAGCAGAACTAGTGATTGCGTGTTTAAACCAGTGCGTACGTTTCTACCTCTTTCGGTCTATGCATCTTTTGTGTTTGCTACCCAATTCTTGTATGGAACTCAGCAAGTTTATGTTTTGTTGTTAATGAAGTTGTTCTCTTGTGTTTGCTTTGGTGAAATCATACGTTTATTTGACGGCGGACGATGATTTACTATTGTTTGTTATCTGATTAGTTAATCTCTCAACAAATTTGTTAATGGCTTTGTGGTTTTTGGAGTTCAAGAATTTACCATGACTCTAGGAAGCATTATTTGTGAAGTTGGAGCATTTAAGTTACTTTGGTTGTTAAGGTAGATATGGAAAAGGTGGACAACTGTTTGTCTTGCATCAACTGGTAAATTACTCTCAAATTCACATTTACTGCTTCAGTTTACTGTGTGTGGTGAAACTGAACAAACTTTTCAAATGTTACTTTTTTTTTTTCCCTTTTTATTCTATCTGACTTTTCAAAATTTACAGAATTTTAGATGGCCTTTTTAGTCTGGGCAATTTGCAGGTAAAAATTTTAACCCCATCAAACGTGGGTGTGTCAATCTAAGGTTGCAGCGTGCTTAATGTGATTTTAATTTGAAGGTGGTAATAAATTTCTTATCCTCTCGACTTAAATTCTCTCACAACTAATCACTTTAATACCTTACTTATTAATTGTGGGCTATTACCTATTAGTCTCCAAGTATGTTTGATTTTTTGCGAATTCAATTCAAGTGATTTGCACGTAACACACTCTAAAGGGTAATAATTACTTTTCCGCCAATAAACTCTCACGATTGCATATAGATTGCGAATTTATCCTTCAAGGATAACTTGATAAATTTTTGAATTTAAGAATATTATGTCTTAAACTCGTTATAAATTGTCAATTTATCTTTGAAAGTGTATCAAATACGAGTGATAAATTAACGAAAAATTAAATAAAACAATTTTAGGCGCAACTTTAATTCTTGATTTTCAGGTTTGAATTTTGAATACATATTCAATAAATTAAAAAGGACATAATTCTCCAAATATTTTGCGCAGAGTCCAGAGCTCCTTTCCGTCGTTTCTTCCTCGGAGACGGCGCCCAAAGCCGCTTCATTTTTTATCAGAGCAGGAGAAGGGATCGCTCTTCCCGGTGCTGATCCGATAGAAGAGGAACCCCAGAGAGAGAGAGAGTGTCGCTGTCGCTGGATTTGCAGAAAAACCCTTGTCTTATTTTCTGGGTATTTATCACATTCTTCCTGCTACTCCTTTTTATGCCAAATTTTCTCTTTTTTTTTTTTTGGTGAATAATCTTTCTTATACCCTCTGTGAAATTGGGTTCATCTCAAACTAAGTTTAATTTCTCTGATTATGCATGTTTTAGTTCCTGATAAAGAAATGAAGTAATAAAGTTGTAAACTTTAAAACGTTAACTAGCGATTGTGTTTGAATGAGTGAGTTCGTTTCTACTTGGATCATTCTGCATATTTACTACCCAGTTCTTGTATGAAAATCAGCAAGTTTATGTTTTGTGGTTAATGAAGTTGCTCTCTTGTGGTTCAAGCCTTGACTTTGATTTTGTGACGATGATTTATTATTTGCAGACAACTATTTCCTGATTATTTGCAGTTTCCACTCAAATTGACATGTACTGCTTCAGATTGCTGTGAATTGAAACTATGAATTTTTGCAATGTGTATAAAACTGAAATTTCGTGTGAGTTCTTTGAACTTATTTTCTACTGGGTATATCACCTTTTTAAGGGAGTTGTTGCTGGCACTCCTAAAGGGTCGTTTTTGCACGCAAAGGATAAACTGCTCTTAAAGAGTAATGCACAATGAATATTCGGGAGTGCCAACAACAGTTTGCCTTTTAAAAAAATTGATTTGTAAATGTAGGCAAAGAGCCTCTATGACATGTTGATAAAGAATCGACTCCTTGCTCGATTTAAATTGTTGCGCGACGACAATATATTGTGAACAATTTGATCGGTTTTCAACGAATTGGACTAAATTTTTAAAATGAAAACCAACATGTTTGGGAGAAATTTTTGCTTAATCGTAACTTTGCTACGTAGTATTATAAATTCATGTATATCGTATCAAATTAGCGGTATGAATTTATGTTATATCTACGCTAGAATTTTACTCTTGGAAGTAACAAACAGAAGAAAGCCAGAACCCCTCGGAAATACTTTCTTTCTTCGACAAATGTGAAACAAAATTGTATTTTATATAACGATATTCTGTATTCAGTTCTCCTCTCCTCCGATACAAATGTGATGATCTGCGTACGGATACATCACATGCACGAGCTTGTATCTCGAGAACGGTTAAAAATGTCATCTCTCTGTTCTGTATTTGATTCTCCTCTGCCGATACAAATGTGATGACCTACGTACGGATAGGGTACTTCAATTTATTTTTTTTTTAATTTTTAAAATTTTTTTTATCTTCCTAACTAGAGAGTTTTCAAGTTAAAGGAGCCAAATCCAATACAAATCAGACAACTTCAAGCCTTCAAGACCCACCAAGTATTAGCAAAAGGACAAGGATTATCTGTCATCTCATTTCCGGTGCCCTCCCATGTTCTTTTGTTTGTGTGGTCACGTTAAATTATGTCAATATTTTATATTACTATTCATTTTTGTCTTATTATCTCTATAAAAAAATAATATAAAATATTAATGTGACTTAACCATGACCACACAAAACAAAAAAGCACGGAAGGACATCGAAAATGAAATGGCAGACAATTCTTGTCCTTAGCAAAAGGCCCCCTCCACTATCCTCTCTCTCTCTTCCCCATAAAAAAAAGGGTAAACGCTCATTAAAATAAGCGCACAAGCAATTAACTTTACTAAGCTTTGAATTTATGGGTTTTAATGACCTTTTATGGCAGCAGCAACCACTCTGCTGCTGACAAGCAAACTGCCAATCCCACAAGCTTTTTAGCCGATTCTTGCTCCAATACGGTTGAATTGCTACCTGGGTTGGTTTCTCTTGAGGTGTTGAGATTCCTGCAAGAATAACCCATATAATATTTTTGTGTTCTGCGGCAGCTCCGCCATTGCTGATCAGTGAGCTCCCTTCTTTTAACTCAATTTATTTGTTTTGAGTTTTTGTTCAAGTTGTTGTGTTTAGTGGTGGGTTAGTGATTGTAGTGGTTCTCTTGTCTGAAAAAAGAAGTTTGCCTTTTGGGTTTCTGCTGGGTTTGCTGTTTCTTCTTTGATTGCATAAGCTTGCTGAATTGCTTCTTGTATGTTGCCTGTGTGATTAGATTTTTGGTATCCGTTGAACATCAATTCGAAACAAGTTTTTCTAACCCTTGTGTAAAATTGGAACATTTTGGTCATGAAGCAGCAGTCTTTAAGCAAGGTTCTGCTAGTTTGAAAGCTTTATATTTCATATTCCTTTGAGTTAAACAGCGAATGTCGAAGTGAATCTTAGTTTGATATGTTTTTTTGGAGCTAGGAAGCAGAAGATACATCAATTTTCTCTTCATTTCTTCCACTTACTAGGAAACAAGACATGATTGGCAATGATTATCATTTCTTTGTTAAATCTCATCACTTGATTTTAGGAGTTTTTTTTTTCGTATTAATCTCCGCGTTGGGTGGTGCTCAAAAGTCGGATGATGCTTTTAAAGTTGTTTCGGGGCTTATAGCATGCGTTTCTTGTACGCGTAGTGGAAAACATCATAATTATATGTAATGTTGAAAACTTAACCCTGCTGTAACTGTAGGAGGATGTTTAATAATCCGTTTGTCTTTTGGGGCACGTCTTATTTTGAGGCATATCTTCACCCTGCAGTCTCTACTCACATTTGGGGATTGCATGGTCCACCCAATCTCCGTCATGTCTAATACGGTTATAATATTGTCTTGCTTGAATTTCTGTCGAGAAGTTTAGCATATTGTGTTTGCAACCTAAAATCTCCTGTTTTTCCGTTCATTTTTGTGAGTTGGAGTATTGTTACCTTAGTACTGTCCCTCCAATTTTTTTTTTTTCATTCCGTTATCGTGTTAGGCAAACCAAAAAGATGGAGCGGAGCAGATTTAATATGAGAATGCGTTGTTCTGGTTCAACACTGTCAGATGAGTCAGCTTTGGATCTTGAGAGAAACTGTTGCAGTCATTCTAATTTGCCTTCGTTAAGTCCACCAACACTTCAACCCTTTGCATCAGCTGGACAGCATTGTGAGACTAACGCTGCTTACTTCTCATGGCCTACCTCAAGCCGATTGAATGATACTGCTGAAGAGAGGGCAAACTATTTCACTAATCTACAGAAGGGGCTCCTTCCTGAAATTCTTGGCCAGTTGCCGAAGGGGCAGCAAGCGACTACATTGCTTGAACTGATGACTATTAGGGCATTTCACAGCAAGATTTTGCGATGTTATAGTCTTGGAACAGCAATTGGGTTTCGTATTCGACGGGGTGTGTTAACTGACATACCAGCTATTCTTGTCTTTGTTTCAAGAAAAGTTCACAAGAAATGGCTCAGCCCAATACAGTGTTTACCTACTGCCCTAGAGGTCAGGAAAGAATGATAAGAATGGTTTGATTTTTCATTCATTTTGTAGTCATCAAGTTTGTTTTGGGTTATCGATGCCCATTCCATCTGAATTTACTTGTGTTTCGAAGTTTAGTTAAAATAACTCTTTTTACTTTAATCAGGGACCTGGAGGTATATGGTGCGATGTGGATGTTGTGGAATTCTCATATTTTGGTGCACCCGAGCCAGCTCCCAAAGAACAATTGTACACAGAAATTGTAGATGATTTGCGTGGAGGTGATCCATGCATTGGCTCAGGTTCTCAGGTATTGTTAAGTTACCTCCCGAGCTAGTTATTTTTCATAGTATTATCTAGTAAATCTGAATGCTGGTAAGTACTGTTTCATTTGCTGGTGTTCAGGTGGCAAGCCAAGAAACATATGGAACATTGGGTGCTATAGTAAGGAGCCAAACAGGCAACCAACAAGTTGGTTTTCTCACAAATCGGCATGTTGCGGTTGACTTGGATTACCCAAATCAGAAGATGTTTCATCCCCTGCCTCCTTCGCTTGGACCTGGGGTATATCTTGGTGCGGTGGAGAGAGCTACCTCATTTATCACAGATGAGCTTTGGTATGGCATCTTTGCCGGAATTAACCCAGGTAAATACGAAATTAAAAGTTGGTAATGTAACTTACATTGCTTTTAGAGATGGATTTAATAAAAATTTCTCTCAAGAGTGCTCATCAATCCAAATTTGAGTAGCTTGACTTTGTTTCTTTGACCGTTCTGTCAAGTTCCAAGTGGATATGTACTTAGCTAAGTTAAGCAAGCTATAGTAAAGAAGTTGACAGTTTAAATGTAAAGATTACAAGCACAATACTTCATACAGATGTAACTTTTTTTTTTTTTTTAAAGAATGAAGGAAAGGGAGAAGAAAGAGAAACACTTATTCATCTTGATTTGTTGTTATTACAGAGACGTTTGTGAGAGCAGATGGGGCATTCATTCCTTTTGCTGATGATTTTGACATGTGTACTGTTATTACATCCATGAAAGGAGTAGGGGAGATTGGCAATGTTAAGATTATTGACTTGCAGTCTCCGATTAGTACCCTTATTGGAAAGCAGGTGATGAAGGTTGGAAGAAGTTCTGGTTTGACTGCTGGAACCGTGTTGGCCTATGCTCTTGAGTACAATGACGAGAAAGGCATATGCTTCTTAACTGATTTTCTTGTGGTTGGTGAGAACCAACAGACATTTGACCTCGAAGGAGACAGCGGGAGCCTGATAGTACTCAAAGGTGTGAATGGTGAGAAGCCACGACCAATTGGGATCATATGGGGTGGTACTGCTAACCGAGGACGACTTAAATTAAAAATTGGTCAACCTCCTGAGAATTGGACAAGCGGAGTTGATCTCGGACGTCTTCTGAAGCTCCTTGAACTTGACATCATTACAACTGATGAAGGGCTTAGAGGTTTGTGCTTCGGAAATTGCCCTTTTTGCTGGTTTCCTTCCCCCCATGGTTAATGCACTGCATTTGTCTATCTTCAGCTTTTTATTTGTAGTTCGTCTGCATGTATCTCTGATTGCTTCGCTCATTTTCCTTGCATATAATTTCATAGATTGTTACGTGAATTAATTACAAATTTGTGTATATGTTACCTGCAGTGGCTGTACAAGAACAAAGGACTGCTTCAGCAACGGTAATTGGATCCACTGTTGGCGACTCTTCCCCTCCAGATGCGATGCTTCGAAAAGAAACATCTGAGGAGAAGTTTGAGTCACTGGGTCTTCAAATTCAGCATCTTCCTTTAGAAGTCGAACCCAGCAGCCCACCCAGGAATCCTTCCTTAGCGGAAACAGAGTTTCATCTGGAAGATGGGATCAAGGCAGTCCCCAGTGTCGAACATCAGTTTATACCAAGCTTCATCAGAGGCTCCCCACTACATAAAAAGAATCAGATCGATAGAACAGTTTCTGAGAATCTCTCATCGCTAAGGAATGGCTGCGACGAAGATATTTGTTTTTCGCTGCAGTTGGGGGACAATGAGGCCAAGAGAAGACGTTCAGATGCTTCAACCAGCGCCGGAGAACCAAAAATGAACTAGACTACTAGCTTAAGCTTGGGGGAACCAACCCGTTTTGCGCGATAGGAACACTATTTCGAGAGAATTATGTTGAAGTGAGCTACAATCCAAGTTAATATTTCTTGTACTGTTTATTTCTCCTAGCTAATAGTTGAAGATAATTACTATGCACAACTAGTGTTCCTTGAGGTTTACCAAAAAAACTAAGAAAATAAGCACTCCGATTTCTATGAGGTTTATCAATACGGGAAAGGGTTTTCGTCGGATCATTTTCTTGGAAATCATGTGATTATGACGGTTCATTGTATATTGTGCAGTTTTTGTTAAAAATTATTTATATTTAATTTTGAATTTAAAATGATTCTCGGTTCTCTAAGAAAATGATCCTATCAATACATCATAACCTTTAAGGGAAGGTTGAAAAAAAAAAAAGGGGATTAGTGGTGGGATCCCAACATTGAATTTTAACGATCCAAATTGCATATTTTTCAAGTTGCACTTCTTAGATCATTCTTGCAAAATATTAGCCAAATCGACAATATTTGAGATAACTAATTGAATTCAAAAAAATTGACAGCATTATGTTTTAAGAAATATCGACATTCATCGTGACAATTAAATAGACAAATAATTTCGGATGAATTGAATTTTGTAAAGATGATCTATCAATCACGCGTCGCACACGCATTTTACTACCATCAGAAGGAGTTTGTTGTTATCTACCTAGTTGTGTTTGTTCGTCATCGTTATATTACCATTTATGACTCTCGTTAGTTATTATGTGAAAATCTGAGTCTCACTGGACCGTAGTATTAATTAATAACTTATTGTATTGTTAAAATTTAGGAATCTTTTGATATAGGCGCTTCAATTTTGAATTTTTTAGATCAAACATTCATGTTTTTTAGTGATTTAATTAAACTTTTTTTTTTTTGGTCATAATTTTGGTGCTATATGCATATTATATTGTAACAAATTTCCTATAATCTAACATTTTGATTACACTCTCCTCCGTTAGATATAATTGTAAAAAAAAAAAAAAGGTTGGTTATATTCAATTTATTTTCACAATAACGCTACAATTTAGCAATAATTATCTACGATTGTAGATATTTTCTTTCCAAAATAGTTTAAAATATTTTTAAATCCCCCGAAATCAAACGTACCGAAATGAGTTTTTATTTCAGTATGTTAAGAGAAAATAGGATTGAGAATAGTATAAACGTACCAATACACAATGTGCACAAAATACCAAAATAAAAATAATGTACCAATATTAACAATATATATCAAATCAAATGTACCAATTAATGATTTTTGTAAATTCAAACGTACCCGTAGATAATATATACGTAATATATTGTACCTAATAATAATTCGTCAACATTTATACTTAAAAAAACAGCAAAAAATATAATTTCACAAAAAAATTGAAAAAATTATACGGAGCTTTTACGTTGATCACCAACTATTTGAAAAAGAAAAAACCATTTGAAAAAAGAAATAATATTAAATGTTTGCATAAAAAAGACATATTTGGAAGAAGAGAAAATATAGTTTAATTACTAAAATCTGTACTAAATAAGGAAAAGTGCATCCCGTAGATAAAATGATAAATTCAAAAATTATTTTAATTTTAAATAATAGATGTGATTATTGATTAAAGAACTTTAATTAAATTTTAAAAAGACACACATGTTCAATATAAATGATATAGAAAATCGGGAATTCTAATATTTAATTTAATTAGCTATTTAAAAAAATCGCCAAACATAACATAAAAAACCACCTTCTCCCTGTCTCTCTCCCTTATCTCTGTGCCCACTTTTCCAGAGCGGGGTTTATCTAGGGTTTCGTCTCTCTCTCTCCGCCATGGCGAAGCCAACCCGAGCCCGTCGCTCGCCATCTGGCTCCGTGTCCGGCTCATCCTCCCGGTCCCGTTCCCGCTCCTACTCAGGCTCCGACTCCCTCTCCAGCTCGCGTTCTCGCTCTCGATCTCGCTCCAGGTCCTTCACCTCTTCCTCCTCTCCGTCCCGGAGCGGCAGCTCTCGCAGCCGAAGTCCCCCTGCCTCCAAAAAAAGGTTCGATTTTCGTTTCCGGATCCTAATTTGACACTCTAGGGTTTTGTATCTGCTGTTTGGTTGCTTAGAAAGTCCAGTATAAATTCGTTAAGGAATATTAAACAATTTATACGATTAAAGTCACTAAATTTGAATGGAATGCCTAACAACCAAAACCACAATCATCATAAAAAAGAAACAAGCCTCACCTTAAAAACATTGGTGAATACTATATATCAGCAGTAAGCTAAGTACAAAATTTGAATTTGAATATAAAGAATATTGATTCAACATTCATATTGGTCAGTGGGAAAATTTGCCAATCGACATTAAGCAATCAGCACATTGAAAAGTATGGCTTTACCTAAGTAGGAATGATGAAGTATTAAAGTTGGAACAACTTAAACTACGGTTATGAGTGGATTAATTGATGAGGTTAGAGCAGTCGAACGTATAACTTTTTATGCATAGTTTAGATTCTAAACCATGCATCTTCGCTTTTCTTTATTTTGTTTTTTGTTGTTGTTGTGCTTTAATGTGATTATGGAATCCGTTAATTCAGGTTTTCATAAAAAAACTAATGCTTTATTGTTAATTAAACTGATTTGTTTTTCAGTCCTGAAGTTGCAAGACGAGGTCGTTCTCCACCACCACAATCTAAAAAGGTGTCACCGCCCCCAAGGTATTGATAGTTTTTTCTTTGAATTTGTGGGGTTTTTTTTAGTGGTTTTTGTGCTTTTTAATTTTTTTAGGGTACATTGAGAAGTAGAACTTGTTAGTTAATTTGAAGTAGACTTTGATTGGTTCAAGTGACTGTTCATGCACATATGCATTCTATGAGTATTGACAGCATCCTGTTATGTGATTTATTTTTGGTAAGCCAAAAATTATTAGCTTAAATTATGTTGGTGTAGATATTTTTTTCCCTTTTTTACTGCAATTGACATTTGGATATGACTTTTCTCTTAGAAACTTTATTTTCAACTTGCTACACGGAGTCTTATAGATATTGCTTTCTTGCTGGACTTGATAGTTTTCTCTGGAGTAGATCCACTACGTTTTGCTTTCTTAACCCCCTAAATTATATTGCACATCTTTCATCTGATAATATGTCACATTTCAGGAAAGCTTCTCCAGTTCATCAGTCACTTGTTCTTCACATTGACGCGCTTACAAGGAATGTGCATGAAGGCCATTTACGAGAAATATTCTGTATGGTTTTGTTTTGTATCTATAATATTTTACTTCTTTTTGCATTATGAGATTGTGTTGGGATACCTAATTCCAGAGGAGTTGATCCTAAGCTAACTCCCCATACAAATCTTTATTTACATAATAGCCTATAGTGCAACAACTTAAAAATCTTGACGAAGGAGTCCAATGTATATTTTTAGATCATACTCTTCTCTATAAGATTTTCATATCAGCTTCTGCGAAAATTTGAATTAACTTATGATTTGAACTTATATTCTTTTAAAGTTTCATTGTTTTGGTTTTTTTGTTGTATTTATGCAAAATTGTACAAGGATCAATTCCATGTAACTTTTAAAGCAACTAGTAATGACTTCACATTTAGGCAATTGCATGTGTCTTGTGCTTTGTAGCACCGATCCTAAACTCAGATTTATAACCATATGTATGAGAATTGCTTACATCATTGGCTCGTGTATTGTTTCTTTGCTAATGTCCAGATAAACTAAGTCACAGACAGTGTCTCATTACGTTTTGTATTACTTTGTAGGTAACTTTGGGGAAGTTGTCAATGTGGAGCTGGCAATGGATCGTACTGTAAGTGCATGCTAGATTTAATTCTTGACTTTGAAGTATCTTTCTGTGCAACATGTATGTTAAAAGTGCCTTCTTCTGCAGGTTAATCTTCCAAAAGGATTTGGATATGTTGAGTTCAAAACACGAGCAGATGCTGAAAAAGCACAATTATACATGGATGGCGTAAGTTTTCTCAAAGTGTGGGAGTATAATAGTTCCTATAACTTTTAAGACCTAACATTTTTGGAATATGATGTGTTGAATTTCCTTATTTCAGGCTCAAATCGATGGTAATGTCGTTCGAGCAAAGTTTACATTACCTCAACGTCAGAAGGTGTCTTCTCCTCCTAAGCCTGTTGCCACTGCTCCAAAGAGAGATGCTGTGAAAACTGATGGTGCCAGTGCTGACAAAGATGCACCAAGGCGACCGAGGGAAGGTATAATCTTTCTATATTTTATTCTTTTTATGGTATCATATGTATTTTTTCTACTATGTTAGTGATCTATCTTTTACTTAATGATATCAGCTTCTCCTCGTCGGAGAGGTGTTCCCTCACCACGAAGGAGATCACCTGTCGGTCGAAGAGGTGAATCTCCAAGACGACCATTAGATTCTCCACCACGTCGTCGTGCTGCCTCGCCTGCTCGTCCCTACCGCCATGGTGGTTCACCTCCAAGGAAAAGGCTTGCATCTCCACCCAGAGGTCGTTCTGGATCGCCGCCACCAAGGCGACGTTCCCCTGTTAGGTATTATATTGAAGCAATTTTGCATTTTTTCATGCTAAATTGTTTGAGTTATTTTAACGGTGTTGATTAATCATATAATTGAATATGACCTCTCCAAGAAGGATACGAGGCAGTCCCATTCGTAGACGCTCTCCAGGACCTCCAAGGCGCCGGTAAATATCTATTTTTCTGCCTAAGATTCTTCATAAATCTTGCGCTTAAAAAATAAGTCAATATATGGATTTTTCATAGACCATGAATTTCTGTGGAATTGAAAGAGATCTCGTACTACTCCTGGTTGATTTTACTGGTTTTGCATGTTCTTCCAACAGTTTAGTGAATCTTTATCACCTTGGAGAGTTGTCTAATTTCTGTGTATATGTGCTTATTCTTGCGGTCTCATGATATATAAGTACTGTGCATGTAAATCCTGCAAAGAAAAATGAAGTCAGGCTATTAATTTCTTGATCAATAATGCATAACAGAGACGATTCAAAGGGCTTAGTGTGTTCTGATAAGTAGGATGCATCCTATAGACCAATGGTATTATCACAGAATTTACATGCAACTTCGTGCACCATTTTTAATAAGATCTCGGTGTTTAGTCATGGATTGCAGCAAAAGGTTGATGTTACTACCAAATGTGCTTACAAATATGAGTCTGTTAAGCTATTTTTTTTCCTTTCGGTTGAGTTAGTTTGAATTTATATTTTGGTTTAATCTTATATGTGAATTTAATTCTTCAGTTCACCTCCTAGACGGTTTCGTAGTCCTCCCAGAAGGTCTCCAATTCGTAGGCGTACTCGTTCTCCCATTCGTAGGCCTGGTCGATCCCGTTCAAGGTCAATCTCGCCGCGGAGGTAACATCTATATTCATGTCTGAAGAAGTCTTTTGCTTTATGCTTGAAGTGGATCACGTTTCTTGATTTTTCATGTTCTCGATTCATTGAAGTTGGATGGAATTGCATTGACGAGTGCATTGAGTTTGGATTTTTCATGTTCTCGATTCATATTTTTTGAAAATAAGGTTTGATTGAACTCATGTGTTGTAGTCTAGCTTTTGGGTGGGACAAGAATCATTATGATTGTATATGTGTTCGTATGGTGTGTTGTACACACAATGTTCTTATGTTGGAATGTTTTAAAAGGCGAAGGCGTAGTTGAGGCATTTCATGGATAGCCTCGCCTAGGCAAAAGCCTTGAGGCGTGAGGCGAAGCCTTGCGGGACCTGAATAATTGGGTACGGCTTTAGATTATTAAAAAAAATGGGGGACTGCTGTGGGTCATTAAAAAAACGGGGACTGCTGTGGGTTAATAAAAAAAATAGACTTGGCCAAAACGACGTCGTTTTGGGCCAAGTCATTTAAAAAAACTTGGCCCAAAACGATTTAAAAATAAATCCTTCTTCTTATTCACGGTTGTCTCCTTCGTGAATACGCTGCCACTGCAACTGAAAAAAAAAAAACCAGAGGGTAGAGCGTCGGAGGCCCAGCCTTCGACTTCAAGGGGTCCCCAGAAAATTTCAAGCAAAGATTTCGGCCGCCTCAGAGTGCTGGGGCGTGCCTCGACCACGTCTAGGAGAGTTTTCGCCTACTCCCACTGGGTAGAGGCGTTTTCACCCCCTCCCGGCCTCTGTAGCCGCCTAGGTGCACCTGCGTTTTTTAAAACACTTTTCGACAAAGAATGGATGCATGAAGTAGATGTGGCCACTGATGCAGTCATCTGGATTACTTCGAATTTGCCATTGGATATGATTTTCCTCTAGAAATTCAGGGTGCTACATTTTATTTTGTTGTTCTTTTCCGCATCAGTATGTTCCAATGTATGTGGTGGAATATATGTTTGCATACATCTCACTACTTAAACCTGCCAAAGTTCTTTTCCCCTCCAAGTGATATGGTGGTACTATCTTCTAGGACCTATTTTTTTGAATTCTTGGTTCCTACTCTGCATATTGCCAAAATATACCTTTCAAAGTTCTTATATTGTCATTTTATTTTGAAGGAATAGTATGCTTGCTAATATGCCTTATACCTACTTTGTTGCTTGTATTCAACAGAGGTCGAGGACCAGCTACTAGACGTGGGAGGTCATCGTCATCTGGATCACCTAGTCCACGAAAGGTATGTTTTTATCAGTTTGTTTACATAACTTGGCTTCTGGGATCCCTTATATGGATTAACTCTTTGCACTATAACAGGCACCCCGAAGAATCTCTCGCAGTCCGAGAAGGTAATTTTTTAATTTTTAGTTTTAACTTTGATCTGAATGAATTTTATTCCAGGCCCGTTTGTATCTGTTTTAGCTCTCACATTTGTATAACTTTGTTTTCATCTGCAATTATCCTTTCGGTTGTATTATGTATGTCTTTTTCATAATCAGTTTTTTGTATGATCATTTTTCTACAAGTTCACAGCATATGTGTTTATTAGTCGCATATTAAACACCTAATTGAGATCCAAAACTTGGGCTTAGTACTTGTGTAGTAGGTTAAAAAATTCTCATGTTTCCGTGGACTGGGTTTGCTTGGTACTTGATTTTAGCTTGTTCTGATGTGGGAGGGTGTTTTATTTAGGCCTTTGAGGGGAAGAAGCAGTAGCAAGAGCAGCACCAGCAGTTCACCCCCTCGTAAGCCATAGGTAATACTCTCTCTTGGATTTTTTAGTGGTTTTGTTGATAAATATATTATATCTAATCGTATTGGAACACGATTGGGCTAATGTTATTTAGAGTTTATACTTGTTCTTATGCAGTAGCTTATATAAGATTACTCATGATTTTTGGCGGGTTAGGTGGATTGTTTGGTTTTTGACGCTTTGTTATTTGCCTATTTAACTTTAGGTTCTGATGGCGGGCACTTTATGAAGGTCTTTAAGGGAAGCAGTAGCAGTTCACCTTCCGCGTAGGCCATAGGTAACACCTGCATCTCCCTCCACTCCCCCTCACTCCCCCTCACCCCCGCTCCTTTCCTTTTTCTGTCCCTTCCCCTTCTGCATTTACTTTGTTGTCATGAGTGCGTAGCACAAAATTCTCAAGAGTGACGGATATTCTCGGAGTTGATATTACGATTTGGATCGCTTATGAGTAGACAGGATCAAGTTGTGTTATTTTGAGCTTTTAAAACTCGTTTCGGTGATTTGCTTTTTTAATTCCATGACTGTATCCACGCTGTGGGAAGGAAGGATGCCGCTTAATTGCACATTTGGTTAATCTATTGTGAAACAAGTTTATGATATGGTTTTCTTTTTAGCCAGGTGGTGTCATGAATTGAGTTGTATGGTTACATTCTCTAAAGTTCTACCCAACAAAAATCGGATTGTCGGATTCTTTCACCTTGTTAGATCCTTTGTCAAAAATACGATGACCATGATCTAAAGGTTAAAGAATATGGATTATATAATACTCCGAAGCACTATAGAATTTTCGAAATGGGACAAAAATTTATTCACTTCTCTGCCAATAGTAATTACCAAGGGCATTGTTCTATTGTATCAACCGGAAGAGAATTTTTGCTTCGGTTTAAACCTGCTTTTCAATAAGCTCTTAAAAATCTTGGAAGATGTGTTGGTTTGCAACTCTGCACCAAGTCTCCTTGTAGGGAACTTTCTTGTTGCTCCGGGGTAGGGGAGGGCACGGGCGGGGCCAGGCCTAAATTTAGAGGAATCGGACTGGACTTGTTTTAAAATGCAATGGGACGGGACCGGATGGGTATACGAATTTTGATTTGTGAAACTGGATCTAACCCGGCCCATTTGAAGTGGGCCTACTGGTCCAAACCCCTTTTTTCTTTTTTTCTTTTTTAAATTTTGGACTGGTGTGTGAAAATAACATCCAAACACAAATTATTTTTGTTTGTAAGAATGCTGCACACTCAAAGTCCTATCTTATTCATACAAGAATTCAAGACTCAGATCCAAAAAATAAGCCCCGACTCGCATCAGCCCCGATTCACAGATTCTGGACCCGACCCAAACCACAAATTATTTTTGTTTGATAAATTTGTACCCGACCCGAACCAGCCCCGACTCGCAGATTCTGGACCTGTTTGCCCACCCTTACTCTGAAGCACTTAAGAATTTTTGCTTCTTGTAGTGTTCGTTCAGTTTTGTAGAATGGTTATAAAACTGGCAAGTCCTGGAAATAGGATGGTGGTGGTTGACAGAGAAAAATAGTTATCACCAAGGGACGCAAAACGCCAAATTTACCTCCACAAGACTTTGTGATAAAAAACTTTTTCTCTTAAAAAAATTTGGTTTCTTTTTTCTTTTTCTCGTGATACAAACGAGAGCGAGAGAGGGAGAAATGAACCTAGGACCTTTCGTGCGAGATAAGTGACTAATCTAGCATGCAACTCCTATGGAAAGCAAGTATTTCTATGCATAAGACTGAGTCAATTTGATTTCTGAAAAGGATTACCAATCCTTAACTTCGAAGGAATCCGTAAATTGTGGTTGTGATTGATTGATTTTCTCAATCTTTTCGACCTTGGTTCCATAAGAGCAACTTAATTGCTTTAGCTACAAATTTCTTGCAAAATCCGACTTTCTTTGTAAACAAATAAAGGAAAAACTAATTCACCAAAAAGAAATAAATAGAGAGAGAGAGAGAGAGAGAGAGAGAGAGAGAGAGAGAGAGAGACTGGGCCAGACATGATGTAGCAAGCCCAAGTCCAAATACCCGAAAACCCGGAACCCATTATGATTCGATGACCATTGCTTCCGGTGATATCGTATATTTTCTCTCATCTTCAAATATCTTTGCAATCGTACCAAAAACCAAAACACCAAAAATGGCGTTGCTCATTACTCTGTCTGTTGCCGGAGGTGGTGCTGGATTCCGGTTCTCCGACGACCTCCAAAAGCTGGGTTGTCTTCAACCCAGGTTCTGTCAAAGTCCCACCACGATTTTTCCTCATAAGTGCTTTTGGCAAGCGCCTAGAAGCAAGAACTTAAATTTGAAGTCCAGGGAATTGCCCAGATTGCGTTTGGCTCGCGCCAAGGAAGCTGAAGATAGTTTCACTCCGGTATGTGATTTCGTTTTTCGGGTTTCCAAATCCATGTGACTAGCGTTATGGGTTTTGAATTTTGTGTAATTTCTGCTACTAAATGAACATATTTATGAATTTTTTTTTTTTTTTTTTTTTTGAAGCTTATCTTGTAAATATTCAAACTTTTCGTATGATGTTTTTTTTTTTCTTGTATTGTTTTGTATAGAGTCGTGGTTTTATGAGAAAATAAGTAAAACTTGTAAGGGTTTTTGTTAATTTTTGTGATTTGTGTTCTGTCGTTTTAAACCTTGAATGCTTATGATAGCTGAATCAATGGCACATTGCAGAATGTAAGCGAAGATACAGACGATATGTTTGATGACTTGTTTGATAAATATGGAAAGGTGGTATATAGTAGCAATGACAGGAAGTCACCTAGCACAGAGCTTGATGATGATGCTGAAAGCTTATCATGTAAGCTCATATCATAAGCAATCTGAGCTAGATTCTTTGTTTCAGCCTTAATGTTACACGGGCAACTGATATGAAGATTCTTTCTAGTTTTCATTATTATAATCTCTCGCGTTATGAACCTAGACCTTCAAAATATGCTTATTTTATGAAGCTGATTAGTGATTTCCTGCAATCTATTTAGTTGCTGTTGCAATGGCCAACGTTGCAAATGACGTAAAAGCAGGAGATATAAAGGTCCTATTTGTGAAGCCTCTTGTGTATTGGACTCGGTTTTTCATAATTGCCACAGCATTTTCTCGTCCGCAAAGTGATGCAATTGCGTAAGTGCTTCAAACTTTAAATTTTTGAATGTTTATGTTTGATTTGCATGATAAATTGTGTGGCAGACTTGGAAGAAATATTTGATTTTATCTTTATGCTGCAATTAAGGTCCCGGATAAGAGATCTGGCAGAGGAGAAGTATGGAAGAGTTTCATCTGGGGACTCAAAACCCAACTCATGGACCCTGTTGGACTTTGGTGAGTTTTAATCCTTCACATTGTAGTGAAATTTTTTAATCATGGCTTAATTGGAAATATCGGATGTGACGTTGAACTCATTTTAGATTTACATTGATGCAGATTCCATGGGTAATATATAATATGAACCTTGTGCTTTTATTTTGCTTACCTATTTACTGTATCTTTCTACTCCATTCATGGTTTTTGGCAACTGAGATGTGGTACCTGTTTGAAATTGTTATTGCGGTGCTAATGTGAAACAATTCATATTGTTTGATTGATGTGGGAGTAACTATTTCCATATGGTAGTATACCAAGCCGCATGTAGCTTTCTTATATGACCCTTTTGACTTATTTAGATGAAACTTGTTATCAATAAGTGTTCTTAGCCAGTCAAATTTTTATTTTTTGAGTGCATGCACTTAAGTGAAATTTTAGGTTAAGTTTGTGAAAACTTTCCTTCAAATGTTGAATTAATTTTGGTAGTCAACCGGTATGCTAGCAGTGCTATATATATATGATACACATATAAGGTTTTAAACTCAATTTTTTAGGAGAATATCTTGATTGTTATGTTGTAATAAATCAACCTGTTGAGGTTCAATAGGATGGGGTCCTTGAGAATTATATTGTTTCTCTCTGTATCTAGCAACATGGTTTTTTAAATCAACGCTCTAACTCTTTGAGGACTATTGCCAAGACGGTCCCAGTGCCCATAGCACTCACCAACATATTCAATTTCCCCAATTAAGCTTTGTTGTTACTCTGCTTTGTGAATTTCAACCCCATTCTTCTCAAGTTTATTTTAATTTTATTTTTTCTTGGGTCATAACTATGCATAAAGGGATAACATTCTGTACTGAATTAATTGTGTATTGTGTCTACTGTTCTAGAACTTTCAAGACATGGCTGCATGTTCTGTTAGGTTCTAGCTGTTATACATTTTAAATTGGGAAGTATTGTAGTATCAGTCTGTTGGGAACTTGATTTTGCTAGTCATAAGATACCTGAAAATGTTGTTTTCTGGTCATGATTTTGGTGTCCTCCGACATATTTGCACAGCTATGGGGTCAATAATTAGGGGTCTGGTGATTCGTTGTAAGCGTCAGAGTGTGGTTGCAGTGTCTTTCTAGAAATTGTTAAATTTGCTGACAAATTCTTATTCAAGAATTCTTGATCTAACCCAGAAGGCTTCACTCGTGTCTTAATTCAGGTGATGTTGTTATTCATATATTTCTTCCACCACAGCGAGCTTTCTACAACTTGGAAGAATTCTATGCTAATGCTACACCCGTTAAATTGCCTTTTGAAAACCAGTCACCATTTCGAGGCTGAGAAAAGCCTTGAAGTTACGCGGAAAATTCAAACTGAGTGCTGTGGATGCTGTGGATGGCTACTGCAGATCTGTAAACCTCTACCAGTTTTGGGCCCTTGAACTAGTCTCACTTGCAGAGTGACAGAAGGTTACCGAACAGGGTTTCTGGGCAATACCAGTTATAAAATGCAAAGGGCACGTTGTAATGTGTAAACACTAATGCAACTTTAAGGAGCGCTTCTGTTTTCTCGGGGCATCCAAACGACCTGAGGCTTGTATCTACCGGCCATGCGCGGTTATGTTTAGAATCATGAAAATCTATCAGGCGTCTGTATTATTAACTGTGAAACATAAGTTGCACTGTATAAAACAGAGTACAAGATTGGTTAAAGGAACATCTGCCAACAAGATCAGGTGCTCTCTCTTTATTAATCTACAACTCGCACTGGAAAGCTTTCGAAATTCGAATTACAAGTGTAGTATTACAGTATCAAAACCTACACCATATGGAATGTGCGACTATCTTTCCAAAATTCACTCCTATCCATGTTTCGTTCAGCGCTTTTCCGATCCTATTGCTCCCGACACGATATGTGTAGCAGATGAAGGTTCCACATACATGCCGTCCGCTTTGTCAACTTTTCTCAAAACGTCTATACAAACCAAAAACTTAGTATGGGCAGTATGAATCACGATTGTCATCCTACGAGAATCGCGTGAAGTTGGACCACGCTTCTGGATGCCATGTATTGGAAGTTACAAGTACTGTTATCGGCCATCCAAGTCGAGTCAAACAATTCCTGCAGGAAGAAAAAAAAGGACGAATATCAGTTCGCATAGTAGGCATCAACTTTGTTGAGGGAAATGCAGCCCAAATGAGCTATATCAGGGAAAGAACTGCAATACAACTAATTGTCCAATTCTGTGTTGCATTTACACAACAGAGAATTAACATATACCACGGAACTCCTGCAACGAAAAATACCACCATTGGCAAAGTTTACTTTTCTGTTCTTAATTCTACCAACAGAGAGAAGCATATAACTTCTATTCCTAGCACAATCTTTAGACACTATGTTTCACTGGCATATATCGTACTATGATTTCACATATAATGCGTGCGCCAAGAGAAATAATATGTGATTATCTGCAAAGCATTGAACTAAAGAGAGGAATATAACATGTAAGGATGCTTGGTTATTCAAATCCAAACTTTTTTACTTGATTGCTAGAATGGGACTTACAGTTACAATTAACCGAGTGTTGATTGGCCAGCCTGTCCAGGTTCAGTTAGACTTAACTCCATATCATGAGTAGCTGTCCAACCAGGTTCATAGGCTTCAAGGAAACCGATCTTTGCCTTGTTGGGGAGATCATGGGGATGAACAAATGGCACCCCGTGTGGCCACCCAATCTCCGTTCTTATATTGGCACATGGGCTATCAAGTATCTGCATGTGATTCTCACACTCCTTCAGGTTGCAGAACCTCAGCTTGATTCCCTTCTTGTCTGCAATGTCTTGAACCCTTTCCTTCAGGACTCTCTGGGCCTCGACCCGTAATCTCTTGGAAGGTGGCAGAGGTTTGGTTCTTTCACTCTTTCTCCTCCTCAACAAAGGCTTCATAGATCCTGTACCAGCATTTCATCGACCCAAGGACCTGCTGTTAAAAGCTTCTCACTAAGAGATACACATAAACACGTGCAATCCAATATCAAGAGGATTCAAGAGACGGAGATAATTTTAGAAGATAAAACTAGATTGAAGATCCTTGTTTATGACAGCAGAAATGCGAAAACTATTAAGTTGTTGACGATTACTATCAATAGAGTTGGACTTAATTTAGCTTATACATCGAACTTATTTTTGGTGTGTGCATGTGCTTTAGTCAGTAAGACCAATCCTAATTAAAGTAAGCTGTCATTAAAAAAATTTCATTCATGAAATCAATTTACAGTATGTAATAAGCAGGCAATTGGTAAAGAAGATTAAATGCAGCATACCATCTTGTGCTGCATGGAAATTGGAACTTTGGAAACTGTGTCTGTTAAAGAGTTGATCGGTGGGGTGAGATCTCTGCATAAAGTCATCAACCGCTACTGGAAGCTGGAACTGAGCTTCAACTCCATGACCAGCAGCTCTCATCTCTGAACAACTAAGATTGGTCATGGATTTAGGCATGAGTTTAAAAGCCAAAGAACATCGCCCAAACAAGTTGCTTTGTGCATTAGCAGTCTCCGTTCTCTGCAGTGCAGGGTTAACATATCCTGCAGTTGCCTGATAGAGTGCAAGTCCAGGGTAAACAATAGCTTCTTGAGGACCAAGATCTTCGTCCACAAGAACCCAACGACCCTGAAAGTCCTTTATGTGTAGACCAGCCTTGTCTGACTTGACAAGAGATATCAAGCTTTTGTCAACTTGATGCTCATGGTCAGAAAACATAACCAACTGGCCATCCTCTTGGGTCGTAAAACTATGGTGTTGTGTCCCCTGAAATGATGGCCTTGCATGACAACAGACAGATAATACTGAAGAAGATATTTCCCGGTTTCTTAAGGGAACATTATCAAGTACTTCAGTAAATGGTGAGCTCCTCAAGTTCAAATAGAAGCTGATAGCGTCCAATATATCTCGAGCTGCCTTTGCAAGCAATGAAAATATATCTGGTAAAGCTGCTGGAGGAAATTCCATTGTGTTGTCGGGCTCTAAAGGAGTGAGTCCAGGTCTGTAATCATAGGTTTCTAGCCACAATTGAGGATCTGCATTATAACCGGAAGTCTTGCACCAGTCACGAGGGTCATTGTTATTAACCATATCTGCAGCTGGGTATGATGATTTCTGGTGGAAGTAGAGGCGAGCCGAATCTAAACCCGACCTCAAAAGAGCCCCATCACTCACTGGAAACTGAATGATGGCAGCAGAATAGAGTGCTAGTGATTGTGACAAAGTCGAAACAGATAGTTTGTAAGAATCTGATGGAAGGCCTTCAGCAGGTGCCAGATCAGTTAGCTTCACACGACCTAGAGATGTCAGGCCATTACCTGCCATGAAACCCTTTGGGTATACTTGCTACCTGATTTTGAAGAGAGGCACAGGTTACCACTGACAAACTCAAAAGTAATAAACTGAAAACAGCATAATCATTCGTCAATCAGACCTTGACCCCTAAGTTGAAGCCACAAAAACTGAACCATCTACGTATTGTAAAGAAAGCATAAGCAGCATAAATATATACATACAAATATATGTGTGTACAAAAATGAACATTTTATATTGAAAAAGGGCTCTCCTAAGGTCCTTAAAAAAGTCAAGCTGCTCAACTATTGATCGTATATGTACGCTAGAAATGCAAGATCTATGGTACGTTGCATGCCAAGGGGACATTTGACCTATGTATAGATAAAGTTATAAACCAAGTTTTTCCAATCACTAGTATGAGCAACCAACACAAAAACTTTTCTTATTAAACTTCGATCTAATAATCTCGTTAGTCAGGAAATTGAAGTGATGTCCAAAATCTGCCACAGTGTCATCTAAACTCAACACAAACTAGCAGTCTGGCAAAGTCAAACGATTGTCTGATACGAAAAAAATAAAATTGCTTAAAGTTCTGCAAAATGAAGACTACATGCTACAGCATCCACCGGTAACACTCGTCCAAACACTAAACCAACGTTGCAACCATATTTCTTCCAAGTATATTGTCCAAACGGGGTAGTCTTTGCTCATACAGAAGATTGAAAATCTTTAAACACACTCGATGCAGCGAGGAACGATTACTGTCTCCATTAAGATTTATGCAACTGTTAAAATGTTGGGTTTGTTTCAAAAATTGTATTACTTTCCTCCCCAATTTTCAAACAAACAAATCATAAGTGACAAGAACCCATAAGACCAATTGGCAACAATTTGCAATCCAGATTTAGCTTCATTAATTGTTACCCATCAACTAATTCAATCCAAAACGTGGAAAAAAAACTGGAAAAATTTGTTTCCTTTACTTAATCTAATAAATATAGAAATGGTTCAAGAACACGGGAAATTCCCAATTCTCAAAACAAACAGAGAGAGAGAGAGAGAGAGAGAGAGAGAGAGAACTGACCTTTATTGGTAGAAAATGTTGCAGAAGCCAGCCAACCCAGAAGAAAGTTAAATTCAGGGGAAGATTAGGGCTTTACAAAAGGGAGAGAGGAGCGGAACAAACAACACAGTGCCTTTTTTTCTGTTTCTTTTTTACACCTTAATGGTGGATTTTACTTGCGGCTACCAAAACTTGGTGATGAGATGAAAATTTTGGATTTGTCGAAAGCCATATCACCTATTCCAGAAAATTTTCATTCTGACGGAACACAAGTGGTAAATTATTTGTTTTTATATAAGAGGTGGAAAATTTTATTTTTTGAGTTATTAATGTTTTAGCATACATATTTCACATTTATATAGTGGCACGAGGTATAACACCCCGTGTGCCGGTCACACTGAAAAATCTCTTCTACTTGAACATATCTTTCCGCGTCTCATTTTGGAGAAATTTATGTAAGAAGTAGCTAGTGTTATTCACACGTGTATTTTTATCTTTCAAACACCTTTGTTAATATTTGGCCTTGATTTTCTCCAATTTACTCAATCCAAAGAGCGAATATTGAAAAGATGTGTGAGAAGTAAAAATGAGTGTGTAGACAGTGGTGGAGCTAGAAAATTTTCATCGGATGGGCTAGTTTAAAGATTTAAATTTATAAACAAAGAAACTTGATATTATATTTTTTACAGTATCAGCTAACTCAAGAAAATTTTCACAAAGTGAACCAAGAACTTTCGTTATTCAAACAAATTCAAACTTCTACATATACAAGAAGTGATGAGAAAAAAGATGTGAGAAAAAGAGATAGTTTGTAAACTATATTATATAATTAAACCGAGAGAAATCGAATCAGTGACTAAATATATGGTAGGCTATATTCGAAAATCCATAAAAATTACATGTAAAATTTTATTTTCTACAAAAATCTCCCTAAGCTACAACCCAGGATAGCCCTTAATGTAGCTCCGCTGGTGTGTGCAGATAGCATTACCCTTTTTTTATATACAATTGTTATTTGGGGTTTTTAATCTGTTTTGGGGAATTCAACAACACCGTCATAAAACTTATTTTCATAGAACTTTTGTTGTTTTGTAAAATTTTTCAAAATTCATTTAAAGCGTTTCAAAAATGTTCCAATTGATGAAAATTTGTTCTAGCCACATACTAAAATATGTTAGAATTTTTCTTCATTGATTTTTTTTTTTCGCCTTAAAAATGAACAATGTTTGGCCACTCAAGAATGAAAATGCCTCATAAATAGTTCATAATACTTTTTATCAATTCCTATGTAACATCCCACATCATCCAGGGAAGTGGATCCTGTAAGCCTTATATGTATATTCTCATCTCTACCTAGCACGTGACTTTTTGAGAGCTCACTGGCTTTGAGTTCCATCGGAACTCAGAAGTTAAGCGAGTTCAGACGAGAGCATTCCCAGGATGGAAGTTCTTGTGTGTGAGTTCCCAAAAACAAAACCGTGAGGGCGTGGTCGGAGCCTAAAACGGACAATATTATGCTACGGCGGAGTCGAGCCTAGGATGTGGTGGAGCCCGGGTGGGGATGTGAAAATTTGGCATCAAAGCCAATCCCTGGTCGGAAGTGCGCCGACAAGGATATCGAGCCCCTAAGGGAATGGATTGTAACATCTCACATCGCCCAGGGGAGTGGATCCTGTAAGCCTTATATTTATATTCTCATCTCTACCTAGCACGAGACTTTTTGAGAGATCACTGGCTTCGGATTCCATCGGAACTCCGAAGTTAAGCGAGTTCGGACGAGAGCATTCCCAGGATGGGTGACCCACTGGGAAATTCTTGTGTAAGTTCCCAGAAACAAAACCGTGAGGGCGTGGTCAGGGCCCAAAGTGGACAATATCGTGCTACGGCGGAGTCGAGCTCAGGATGTGATGGAGCCCGAGTCGGGATGTGAAATCCTACCATATGTTTTTATATAGCTCAATCACTAAACAATATCATATTTTATTTTTTTGCTGAAAAATTATCTTTACGAATCGATTTATAATATGACAGTTCTAATTATATTCACAAATTTTTGCGAATCGGCCTAAAGAGTGTAGCTATGTGACAATGACTTATATAACATTGCCTTCCAATTGAAGAAGTTATAGGAAAATCAAGACACAAAATAAAGACGAAAGTGTGTACGAAAATCATTTTCCAAAATTTTATCGAGCCTCAACTACTGAAATAGTGACTTCATTAGCTGAGCATGCTTTAGAAGAATAATTGGTTTCGAGTTCAGTTAGATCCCTTTCACTATAAAAACCAGGTTTTAGAGGTGGGGGCAACACACCTTCACCACCCAACATTAGAACTATAGCTGACATGCTCGGTCTGTCTTCTGGATTCCGCTGCACGCACAAAAGACCCACATGAATCGTTCTTACAACTTCATGCAGAGTGACGGAGTCCTCTACTGATGCATCAAGCAGTTTGAGAGGCCTGCCTTCTGTGTGTAGCATCCATGCCTAAAACATGAAAACAAGTCTACTTAGCAGAAGTAGCAGAGTCGAGCAATGAGAATTTTTAACTTGACATTTGATGTTGTCACACTCACATGTCCAAGAAGGTTGAGTTTGTGGTCTGGATGAGAGAATCCTCTATTTCTGCTCCCGCTCACTATCTCTAGCACTAGAACACCAAAGCTATAGGCATCGGACTTTATAGAGTAGAAACCATCAATTGTATATTCTGGGGACATGTAACCACTGCAGACGAATGTGTCAAAAAACATTTTTATACACAAAGAATCTAGACTTTCTAGTTTCTATTAGTGTTTTTGAAAATTCGTAAAAAAAGAGTGGTACAATTATGTTTTAGGATACTTACTATGTTCCGACCACTTTCCTTGTTTTTGCTTTCGTTTCATTTCCTCCAAAGCTTCTAGCCAGGCCAAAGTCTGAGATTTTCGGGTTAAATTCACTGCCTAATAAAATGTTACTTGCTTTGAGATCTCTATGAATAACTCTCAATCTAGAATCTTGATGAAGATAGAGGAGCCCTCGAGCTATCCCATTAATAATTTCAAAGCGCTTTGGCCAGTCTAATAACATCCTTCTTCTTTGATCTGCAAAATATCATAATTCACAATTGTCACAAAATACATTGTGCTAGGCTGCTAGCATAAGCTGACTAATCGAACTAAATGCAAGGTTTTTGAGTGGTCAAACCGAAAATAAAGAAGTCTAAGCTCTTGTTGGGCATGAACTCGTAGATCAGTATCATCTCGTCTTCTTGAATGCAGCATCCAAGAAGCTTCACTAGATTCCTGTGCTGAAGTTTGGCAATATGTGTAACTTCATTCTTGAACTCGTCGAGTCCTTGTCTAGAACTTTTTGAAAGCCTTTTCACTGCAATTTCTTGTCCATCTTCCATCGTACCCTGAAATCCATCAGCGTATGTTATGACCAAAATTCATACTTTGTAGTTTGCACACTACTTGTATCCATCATTACATATTATGACCAGAAGTACATGTATCTATACAACTTCAAAACTATGATGGATTATCTGGTTTTACCTTAAAGACAGATCCGAAACCGCCTTCACCAATTTTGTTTTCAATTGAAAAGTTACTGGTTGCAGAAACTATAGTCATCAAGTCAAATAACGGTAATTCCAGATCCTCCTTTTGGTTGCGTCCCAGTTTTCCTGCAAAGATGCAGTGATGGGTGAAAAAAATTCCCTATACAACTGAACTATGTAGTTTGGAAAGCAGAGGGGCACAATAATACGACCAACTTACCACCTTTTTGGTGCTGCTTCTTCCAAACATAAAACAACAGGGTAAGGCCCATGATCAGCAGTCCGATAGACAACATAGTAGTGCTTATTATGATTCTCATTTTCTTTGCATTGGTTTCAGAGTATTTAGCGTTGATCTTTGTATCGTCTTCATGATCTATGAATGATATTTTTGAAGACAGAAAATCTATGAGTCGGACAGTAATAAATAAATAAAAACTGTATAATCTCTATCATCCAACTAATAGTTTCTAGTTTGTGAGACAATTCTAAAATAAGATATTGCTAATTGTGTCAAAATTCAAAGTTTAAACTGTTAGTATTAGTACAATGTTTCACCTCGTTATGTCTTGACTTTGTTTCGAGCATATGATTATGACTAAATGCATAGTCACCAACAAGTGTTTTTTACATACCTTTTTCTGCTGCGGCCATTCTTATATAAATATCTTGCACGTTTTCAGCAATGTATACTATATCAATTAGATCACCGTACCACAGCAAGCACCCAGTTCCTCCATCCCGGATATCCAAATTTGAATAAGCCGTGCAGGAGCAGTTCTTCATGCACACCATCTCACATTCCTTGAGGTTCATACTTTTGTTAAACCAGGATTGTTCTGTGCTAGGCAATTTCAACCCCGAGTACTTTTGGAACACGTCTCCGGTGCAATTTAGAGAAGTCTTTCTCACACAACCATTAGACCAATCTGCCAAATCCCATTCTTTCGGAAACTTTGGTGTAAATCCTTTCAAACAGCTACACACCGGGGACTTTTGAATGTTACATGCACCATGTACACCACACAATGCATAGTTGTCACAGTCATCAATTTGGACTGTTTGGTAAAGAACCCAACCTTTGGTTCTATCAATCCATGTGTAGCGCTGCAGAAGTCCATCTGAAGTTAACATCAACCTTGAAAAGATTGAGCTGTTGTGAAGCTTGTAACTGTAGTACATTTCATCACGCTCAGAAACAAGACTGTATGTGTATATAGAGTTTTGATTTAACTGAGGGTTTCCACTGAACCAGACTCCATTCCATGGTCCAGACCGAAATTTAATGACCGAACCTTCCCTCACAAATAATTCTGCATATCCTTTGGGACCAAGTTGATTTGTACAATTGCCTTGAGAAGGATCCTGAGGACTTTTCCACGATCTAAGATGCCAATTGAAGCCTGTAACCGTGTTCCTACCAATCTTCATACCTGGTAAGAATGTGTCGCCAGGGTAATCAAAACTTTGCCACAGAAAGTTCTCAGAGTCATCATCACTCCTATCTATCACGACAAGATTACCCGAATCCAAAAGACGTGCCACTGGATTCTGTGCAGTTCTCGATGTGTTGGAGGACCAAACTGTGCTCATGTTGTGGTTGAGGACAAGAATTCCAGAGTTGGTGACCTTTAGAACGCCGGACAAATCACCCAGGGGCTTGTCTCTGTTGGCAACCCATACAATGGTTGTAACAGATATGTGCTTGTACCATATCCCCACGTACCGTCTATTAGAAGCATCAGGACTGCAAAATCCTAGCTCAAACGTACCGCCAGTTGAAACTACAGTCTCACCGTCTCTAATGGACTGAAATGTACTCGTGGCGTCATCAGCTATGGAGAATACTGCTGCGAAGATGAGCAACAAAGAAGAGTAGAAGAGGACCAAGCACATCTTAGTTGAAGCTTTCAACGGATTTTTCATTAAATTCATGGGAACATATATTGTCCCTCTACGCCCTTCTTACGTGTATGATTTCGCATTTTTGCCGTCATTTTTGAATACATAAATGCCAAAAACAGCCCCTACATTTGACGAAGAGAGCAGCCCCTACATTTAGACGAAGAGAGCAGCCCCTACATTTGACTTGAATACACAAATGCCAAAAACAGAGTTTCAAATAAGAGCATCTCGGGTGGGAGAGAGTATGCCTTGTAACCGGTTGTATGTCCCTTTGTGTGTGCGTGTCTCTCTCTCTTCGCGTGAATTTTTTTATAGCAAAGTCAATAATTTTCAGAATGATTCCAGGGATGCTACTGCCTTCTTTTTATGCCATTGTGTCTACCGTTCCCTGCTGAATTTCTTTGTATCTGTTTCTCTTATTGTTTTTGCTTCTGCTTTGGGTTGTTCTTGGCTGCTGATTGTGGTTGTTTTTTGCAACCTTGTTTCCAATGCTGTCAGTTGCCTCAGTTGCTTTCATGTTGTTGGTCGTTTTTCAGCTAAGTTGTACCAAAACAAAATGTTCAATCCTGTATTGCAGTAAACATAAGAACGTACAGTAAAGCTATTGAATCTGAATCACAATAGTTCAAATGTATAATCTAATCCAATTGAAATCTATAAATGATAACTATTTAATCTCTCTAATTCAAACTTCAAACTCGAGTACTGTAAAAGTGACTTCATAGCTGAAAATGCCCTACCAATCTTCAAACTCGAGTACTGCAAAAGTGACTTCATTAGCTGAAAATGCTCTAGCCTTGTTTGCACAAGGATCGACTTTGAGGTCCTCTAGATCCCTTTCACTGTAAAAACCAGGTTTTTGAGGTTGAGACAATGCACTTTCACCACTCAACATCAGAACTACAGCCGGATTTCGCAGCATGCATAAAACGCACATGGATCGACCGCAAAAAGTCATGTGGATTACTAAAGTCTCCTACTGATGTATTGAGTAGTTCAATGGACTTGCCTATTTTGTGTTAATTCCATGCCTAAAAGATCACAACCACCAATCGTACTGAATAAATAGAAGTATAAAGAATCGAGTAAATATAAACAATAATGCTAGACGAACCACATTTTATATTTTAAGCGGAATCGAATCCATTTTACAAATGAGTTATCGTCACCAGATGTTACTAGAGAAGTCACCGTCACACACTTTATATCATTAGCTAATGCAGTCAGAATATAGTCCCCCTAGCATAATTCGACGAAAAATTATCAACTTGACAGCTGGCACTTACATGTCCTAGCAGGTTGAGGCTATGGCCTGGATGAGAAAATCCTTTGTTTCTCTTCCCATTCACTATCTCGAGCACCATAACACCAAAGCTAAAGATCAGATTTTATCTAGTAGAACTCATCGAAGACATATTCCGGGGACATGTAACGTAACCAGTGCAAAGCAATGCATCAAGAACTATATTTCACAAGCAAAGCAAGTAAATGTGTTCCTACCGAGTTTTGTACCCAGTAGGAATGTGTCACCAGGGTAATCAAAACTCTGCCACGTAAAATTCTCAGGGTCGGTACGATCATTACAATCTGTCACAACAAGATTTCTGAATCCGAAAGCTGCGCTGCTGGATTTGACGCAGATGTTGGTGTGTTCGAGGACCAAACGCTTGTCCTGTTAGTATCAACAAGGACAAGAATTCCAGGGATGGTGACAGTGAGTAGACCTGATGAATCAGTGAGCGGTGTCTCTCGGTTGGCTACCCATACGAACTTTTTTACTTGATTGCTAAATTGGGACTTACAATTACAATTAACCGAGGGCTGACTGGCCAGCCTGTCCAGGTTCGGTTAGACTTAACTCCATATCATGAGTAGCTGTCCAACCAGGTTCATAGGCTTCAAGGAAACTGATATTTGCCTTATTGGGGAGATCATGGGGATGAACAAATGGCACCCCGTGTGGCCATCCAATTTCCATTCTTATATTGGCACAGGGGCTATCAAGTGTCTGAATGTGATTCTCACACTCCTTCAGGTTGCAGAACCTCAGCTTGATTCCCTTCTTGTCTGCAATGTCTTGAACCCTTTCCTTCAGGACTCTCTGGGCCTCGACCCACAATCTCTTGGAAGGTGGCAAAGGTTTGGTTCTTTCACTCTTTCTCCTCCTCAAGAAAGGCTTCATAGATCCTGTACCAGCATTTCATCGATCCAAGGACCTGCTGTTAAAACCTTCTCACATAAGAGATACACATAAACACGTGCAATCCAATATCAAGAGGACTCAAGAGACGGATATATTTTAGAAGATAAAACTAGATTGAAGATCCTTGTTTACGACAGCAGAAATGCGAAAACTATTAAGTAGTTGATGATTACTATCAATAGAGTTGGACTTAATTTAGCTTATACATTGAACTTATTTTTGGTGTGTGCAGGTGCTTCAGTCAGTAAGACCAATCCTAATTAAAGTAAGCTGTCATTAAAAAAATTGCATTCATGTAATCAATTTACAGTATGTAACAAGAAGGCAATTGGTAAAGAAGATTAAATGCAGCATACCATCTTGTGCTGCATGGAAATTGGAACTTTGGAAACTGTCTGTTAAAGAGTTGATTGGTGGGTTGAGATCTCTGCATAAAGTCATCAACCGCTACTGGAAGCTGGAACTGAGCTTCAACCCCATGACCAGCAGCTCTCATCTCTGAACAACTAAGACTGGTCATGGATTTAGGAATGAATTTAAAAGCAAAAGAACATCGCCCAAACAAGTTGCTCTGTGTATTAGCGGTCTCCGTTCTCTGCAGTGCAGGGTTAACATATCCTGCAGTTGCCTGATAGAGTGCAAGTCCAGGGTAAACAATAGCTTCTTGAGGACCAAGATCTTCGTCCACAAGAAACCGACCACCCTGAAAGTCCTTTATGTGTAGACCAGCCTTGTTTGACTTGGCAAGATATATCAAGCTTTTGTCAACTTGATGCTCATGGTCAGAAAACATAACCAACTGGCCATCCTCTTGGGTCGTAAAACTATGGTGTCGTGTCCCCTGAAATGATGGCCTTGCATGACAACAGACAGATAATACTGAAGAAGATATTTACCAGTTTCATACGGGAACATTATCAGTACTTCAGTAAATGGTGAGCTCCTCAAGTTCAAATAGAAGCTGATAGCGTCCAATATATCTCGAGCTGCCTTTGCAAGCAGTGAAAATATATCTGGTAAAGCTGCTGGAGGAAATTCCATTGTGTTGTTGGGCTCTAAAGGAGGGAGTCCAGGTCTGTAATCATACGTTTCTAGCCACAATTGAGGATCTGCGTTATAACCGGAAGTCTTGCAACAGTCACGAGGGTCATTGTTATTAACCATATCTGCAGCTGGGGATGATGCTTTCTGGTGGAAGTAGAGGCGAGCCGAATCTAAACCCGACATCAAAAGAGCCCCATCACTCACTGGAAACTGAATGATGGCAGCAGAATAGAGTGCTAGTGATTGTGACAAAGTCGAAACAGATTGTTTGTAAGAATCTGATGGAAGGCCTTCAGCAGGTGCCAGATCAGTTAGCTTCACACGACCTAGAGATTGCAGGCCATTACCTGCCATGAAACCCTTTGGGTATACTTGCTACCTGATTTTGAAGAGAGGCACAGGTTACCACTGACATAACTCAAAATTAATAAACTGAAAACAGCATAATCATTCATCAATCAGAATCTCCTCTTTTTTTGTCTTATGAGAATTTTGGAACTCCTTGACCCTAAGTTAAAGCCACAAAAACTGAACCATCTACTTATTGTAAAGAAAGCATATGAAGCATAAATATATACATACCAATACATGTGTGTACACAGATGAACATTTTATATTGAAAAAGTGCTTTCCTAAGGTCCTTCAAAAAGTCAAGCTGCTCAACTATTGATCGTATATGTACGCTAGAAATGCAAGATCTATGGTACGTTGCATGCCAAGGGGACATTTGACCTATGTATAGATAAAGTTATAAACCAAGTTTTTCCAATCACTAGTATGAGCAACCAACACAAAAACTTTTCTTATTAAACTTCGATCTAATAATCTCGTTAGTCAGGAAATTGAAGTGATGTCCAAAATCTGCCACAATGTCATCTAAACTCAACACAAACTAGCAGTGTGGCTAAGTCAAACGATTGTCTAATATGAAAACAAATAAAATTGCTTAAATGTTCTGCAAGATGAAGACTACATGCTACAGCCTCGACCGGAAACACTTCCAAACACTAAACCAACCTTGCAACCATATTTCTTCCAAGTATATTGTCCAAACGGGGTAGTCTTTGCTCGTACAGAAGATTGAAAATCCTTAAACACACTCGATGCAGCGACGAACGATTACTGTCTCCATTAAGATTTATGCAACTGTTAAAATGTTGGGTTTGTTTCAAAAATTGTATTACTTTCCTCCCCAATTTTCAAACAAACAAATCATAAGTGACAAGAGCCCATAACACCAATTGGCAACAATTTGCAATCCAGATTTAGCTTCATTAATTGTTACCCATCAACTAATTCAATCCAAAACGTGGAAAAAAACTGGAACAATTTGTTTCCTTTACTTAATCTAATAAATATAGAAATGGTTCAAGAACACGGGAAATTCCCAATTCTCAAAACAAACAGAGAGAGAGAGAGAGAGAGGAGAGAGAGAGAGAGAGAAAGAACTGACCTTTATTGGTAGAAAATGTTGCAGAGGCCAGCCAACCCAGAAGAAAGTTCAATCCAGGGGAAGATTAGGGCTTTACAAGAGGGAAAGATGAGAGGAACAGACAACACAATGCTCTCCTTTTTTATTTTATTTTATTTATTTATTTACATTTACCACTTAACTTGGTGATAAGATGGAAATTTGCTTGACCAAAAAAACTAACAAAAATTTCAAAAATTTTTTAGTTTTAATTAAAAATGATAAATAAATGTGTGGTGAATAGTATCAAGGAAGGATAAAAATATGGTTTTTCATTAAAAGTGAACAATACCAAAAATGTTTCGTTAAAATTTTCTTTTTTTATATACAATTATTATTTAAGGTTTTTACTCTGTTTTGGGGAATTCAACAAAAACGTCATAAAACTTATTTTCGTAGAATTTTTGTTGCATTGTAAAATTTTTCAAAATTCACTTAAAACATTTCGAAAATGTTCCAATTGACGAAAATTTGTTCTAGACACATGCTGAAATCTGTTGGAATTTTTCTCTGTTGATTTTCATTTTTTGGTCTTAAAAATGAACAATGCTTGACCACTAAAAAATGAGAATTCCTCACAAACGGTTTGTAATACTTTTATTGATTGTTTTTATATAGCTTAATTGTAAGATCCCACATCGCCCAAGGGTGAGGATCCTGTAAGCCTTATATGTATGTTCTCATCTCTACCTAGCACGAGCCCAGGATGTAGTGGGGGCCCGGACCGGGATGTGACATTAATGAATAAACAATATCATATTTTATTGATTGTTTTTTCTTTTTTTGGTTGAAATATTATCTTTACAAATCAATTTATAATATGACAATTCTGATCATATTCACAAATTTTTGTGAATCGGCCTAAAGAGTGTCGCTATGTGACAATGACTTATATAACATTGTCTTCCAATTGAAGAAGTTAAAGGAAAATCAAGAGACAAAATAAAGACAGATGTATGCGAAAATCATTTCCAATATTTTATCGAGCCTCAAGTAGTGATATAGTGACTTCATTAGCTGAGCATGCTTTAGAAGAATGACTGGCTTCGAGTTCAGTCAAATCCCTTTCACTATAGAAACCAGGTTTTAGAGGTGGGGGCAATGCACCTTCACCACCCAACATTAGAACTGCAGCTGACATGCTCGGCCTGTCTTCTGGATTCCGCTGCACGCACAAAAGACCCACATGAATCGTTCGTACAACTTCATGCAAAGTGATGGAGTCCTCTACCAATGTATCAAGTAGTTCGAGAGGCCTGCCTTCTGTGTGTAGCATCCATGCCTAAAACATGAAAACTAGTCTACTTAGTAGAAGTAGTAGAATCGAGTGATAAGAAATTTTAATTTGACATTTGATGTTGTCACACTCACATGTCCAAGAAGGTTGAGTTTGTGGTCTGGATGAGAGAATCCTCTATTTCTGCTCCCACTCACTATCTCTAGTACCAAAACACCAAAGCTATAAACGTCGGACTTTATAGAGTAGAAACCATCAATTGCATATTCTGGGGACATATAACCGCTGCAAACCAATGTGTTAAAAAATGTTTTTATAAGCAAAGAATCTAGACTTTCTAGTTTCTATTAGTGTTTTTGAAAATTCGTAAAAAAAGAGTCGTACAATTGTGTTTTAGGATACTTACTATGTTCCGACCACTTTCTTTGTTTTTGCCTTCGTTTCATTTCCTCCAAAGCTTCTAGCCAGGCCAAAGTCTGAGATTTTCGGGTTAAATTCACTGCCTAACAAAATGTTACTTGCTTTGAGATCTCTATGGATAACTCTCAGTCTAGAATCTTGATGAAGATAGAGGATCCCTCGAGCTATCCCATTAATAATTTCAAAGCGCTTTGGCCAGTCTAATAACATCCTTCTTCTTTGATCTGCAGCATATCATAGTTCATTTCACAATTGTCAAAAAATACATCATGCGAGCATAAGTGGACTAATGGAACTAAATGTAAGGTTTTTGAGTGGTCAAACCAAAAATAAAGAAGTCTAAGCTCTTGTTAGGCATGAACTCGTAGATCAGCATCATCTCGTCTTCTTGAATGCAGTATCCAAGAAGCTTCACTAGATTCCTATGCTGAAGTTTGGCAATATGTGTAACTTCATTCTTGAACTCGTCAAGTCCTTGGTGAGAACTTTTTGAAAGCCTTTTCACTGCGATTTCTTGTCCATCTTTCATTGTACCCTGAAATCCATCAGCGTATGTTATGGCCAAAATTCATACTTTGTAGTTTGCACGCTACTTGTATCCATCATTCCATATTATGATCATAACTACATATATCTATGCAACTTGGAAACTGTGAAGGACTATCTGGTTTTACCTTAAAGACAGATCCGAAACCGCCTTCACCAAGTTTGTTTTCAATTGAAAAGTTACCGGTTGCAGAAACTACAGTCATCAAATCAAATAACGGTAATTCCAAATCCTCCTTTTGGCTGCGTCCTAGTTTTCCTGCAAAGACGCATTTACGGGGGTGAAAAAAATTCCCTATACAGCATAACTATGTAACTTGGAAAGCAGAGGAGCAGAATAGTACAACCAACTTACCACCTTTCTGGTGCTGCTTCTTCCAAACATAAAACAGCAGGACCAGGCCCATGATCAGCAGTCCGGTAGACAACACAGTAGTGCTTATTATGATTCTCATTTTCTTCGCATTGGAATCAGAGTATTTAGCGTTGATCTTTGTATTGTTTTCATCATCTACAAGTGATATTTTTTAAAATAGAAAATCTATGAGTCAGAGAGTACTAAATAAATAAATAAAAACTCTATAGTGTTTGTCATCCAACTAATGGCTGCTAGTTTGTGAGACAATTCTAAAAGAAGATTGCTAATTGTGTCAAAATTCAAGGTTTAAACTGTTGGAATTAATACAACGTTTCACTTCGTTATGTCTTGACTTTGTTTCGAGCATTTGATCATGAATAAATGCATAGTCACCAACAGCTGTTTTTTACATACCTAGTTCCGATGAGGCCATTCTTATATAAATATCTTGCCCTTTTTCAGCAAAGTATCTTATATCAATTAGATCGCCGTACCACAGCAAGCACCCGCTTCCTCCATCTCGGATATCCAAATTTGTATATGCCGTGCAGGAGCAGTTCTTCATGCACACCATCTCACATTCTTTGAGGTTCATACTTCTGTTAAGCCAGGATAGTTCTGTGCTAGGCAATTTCAACCCCGAGTACTTTTGGAACGCATCTCCGGTGCAATTTAGAGAAGTCTTTCTCACACAGCCATTTGACCAATCCACCACATCCCATTCTTTTGGAAACTTTGGTGTAAATCCTTTCAAACAGCTACATACCGGGGACTTTTCAATGTTACATGAGCCATATACACCACATAATGCATAGTTGTCACAGTCATCAATCTGGACTGTTAGGTAAACAAACCAATCTTTGGTTCTATCAATCCATGTATAGCGCTGCGCAAGTCCATCTGAAGTTAACACCAAGTTCGAAAGGATTGAGCTGTTGCGAGGCTCGTAACTGTAGTACATTTCATCAGGCTCAAAAACAAGACCGTATGTGTATAGAGAGTTTGGATTTAACTGAGGCATTCCACTGAACCGGATTCCATTCCATGGTCCACTCCGAAATTTTATGACCGAACCTTCCCTCAGAAACATTTCTGCATATCCTTTGGGACCAAATTGATATGTATAATTACCTTGAGAAGGATCCTGAGGACTTTTCCATGATCTAAGATACCAATTGAAGCCTGTAACTGTGTTCCTACCAAGCTTCGCACCTGGTAAGATTGTATTGCCAGGGTAATCAAAACTTTGCCACAAAAAGTTCTCAGGGTCATCATCACTCCTATCTATCACGACAAGATTACCCGAATCCAAAAGACGTGCCACTGGATTATGTGCAGTTCTCGATGTGTTTGAGGACCAAATTGTGCTCATGTTGTGGTTGAGGACAAGAATTCCGGGGTTGGTGACCTTCAGGACGCCAGACAAATCAGTGAGGGGTGTTTCTCTGTTGGCAACCCATACAATGGTTTTAACAGAAATCTTCTTGTACCATATCCCCACGTACCGTTTATTAGAAGCATCAGGACTGCAAAATCCTAGCTCAAACGTTGCGCCAGTTGAAACTACAGTCTCACCGTCTCTAATGGACTGAAATGTACTCGTGGCGTCATCAGCTATGGAGAATAGTACTGCGAAGATGAGCAGCAAAGAAGAGTTGAAGAGGAGCAAGCACATCTTAGTTGAAGCTTTCAATGGATTTTTCATTAAATTCATGGAAATACAAATTGTCCCTCTACTGCTGCAACAATGAGCAGCAAAGTAGAGTAGAAAAGAAGCAAGCACATCTTAGTTGAAGCTTTCAATGGAATTTTCACTAAATTCGTGGGAAAGCAGTGAAAATCAAAGACCTCAATTGTCCTTCTACTCCCTTCTTACATGTATGATTTCGCATTTTTTTGTCATTTTTGACTTCAATATTGTTGAATAATTGCGCACATGGGAAGACAAATTACTAAGTTGCAAGGGAAGATAAATTGTTCTCCAGTGTGAAACTGAGGAAATTATCGGAAGCAGACATCGGACTCGGTCCAAGAATGATATAAATTAATATATAGTAGCATTATTTTTGGAAAAATCAGACGGAGAGAGCAGCCCCACATTTGACTTGAATACACAAATACCAAAAACGAGTATAAAATAAGAGCATCTCGGATGGGAGAAAATATGCCTTGTAACCGCTTGTATGTCCCTTTGTGTGTGTGTGTGTGTCTCTCTCTCTCTCTCTCTCCACGTGATTTTTTTTATAGCAAAGTCAATATTTTTCAGAATGACTTCAGAGATGCTACTTTCTTTTTTTTTGTTTTTTTTTCATGCCATTGTGTCTACCGTTCCCTGCTGAATTTCTTTGTAGAAGTTTTTTGCTTTCTCGGAGTCTCGGTTTCTCTTGTTTGTTTTTGCTTCTGCTTTGGGTTGTTCTTGGTTGCTGATTGTGGTTGTTTTTTGCAACCTTGTTTTCTTTGCTGTCAGTTACCTCAGTTGCTTTCATTTTGTTGGTTGTTTTTTAGTTAAGTTGTACCAAAAATGTTCAAAAAATGTTCAATCCTGTATTGCAGTAAACATTAAAACGCACAGTAAAGCTGTCGAATCTGAATCGCAGTAGTTCAAATGTATAATATAATCCAATTGAAATCTATAAACGATAACTATTTAATCTCTCTAATTCAAACTTCAAACTCGAATACTGTAAAAGTGACTTCATAGCCGAAAATGCCCTACCAATCTTCAAACTCGAGTACTTAACCGTGTTCCTACCAATCTTCAAACTCGAGTACTTAACTGTGTTCCTACCAATCTTCATACCTGGTAAGAATGTATCGCCAGGGTAATCAAAACTTTGCCACAGAAAGTTCTCAGAGTCATCATCACTCCCATCTATCACGACAATATTACCCGAATCCAAAAGACGTGCCACTGGATTCTATGCAGTTCTTGATGTGTTGGAGGACCAAACTGTGCTCATGTTGTGGTTGAGGACAAGAATTCCGGGGTTGGTGACCTTCAGAACGCCGCACAAATCAGCGACGGGCTTGTCTCTGTTGGCAACCCATACAATGGTTGTAACAGGTATGTGCTTGTACCATATCGCCACGTACTGTCTGTTAGAAGCATCAGGACTGCAAAATCCTAGCTCAAACGTACCGCCAGTTGAAACTACAGTCTCATTGTCTCTAATGGACTGAAATGTACTCGTGGCGTCATCAGCTATGGAGAATAGTACTGCGAAGATGAGCAGCAAAGAAGAGTTGAAGAGGAGCAATCACATCTTAGTTGAAGCTTTCAATGGATTTTTCATTAAATTCGTGGGAAAGCACTGAAAATCAAAGACCTCAATTGTCCCTCTATGCCCTTCTTACATGTATGATTTCGCATTTTTGCTGTCATTTTTTACTTCAATATTGTTGAATAATTGGGCACATGGGAAGACAAATTACCAAGCTGCAACGGAAGACTAATTGTTCTCCAGCGTGAAACTGAGGAATATCGGAAGTAGACATCGGACTCGGTCCAAGAATGATACTGTCTTAGCAAAATATATAAACTAATGTATAGTTGTTATAAATAAGTCAAAGTTAAAAGGAATAATCTTTTTAATTGTAGGTGCAAGGTAGATGTAAAATGCCACACTAAAACTATAGCACAAAAGGATAACAAATAAAAGGCAGAGAAATAGATGATGTTACTGATATTTCTCTCTCGTTTTCTTCTTATATTTTCTGTATCTTGAAAACATACGGAGTGCTCTATTTATAGAGCAACTCCAAATTGATGCAATTAATGCATTTTGAAACTTACGACACTTCCTTTGACAATACAATTTCTATGTATTTTTCATATTCAAATTTCACTTTGCATGGGCATTGAAAACTTCTGCCCATGTTGAAGAATTCTGCTAATGAACTGTGGGCATTCATTGCCATCAGACTTTTCAACAATAGTAGCATTATTGTTGGAAAAATTAGACGAAGAGAGGAGCCCCCACGTTTGACTTAAATACACAAAAATGCCAAAATGAAGTATCAAATAAGAGCATCTCGGATGGGAGAGAGTATGCTTGTAACCGGTTGTACTAGCAAATACGTCCGCACGTTGTTGCAGGAACCATTTGTTTTAGGCGTAATCTGATGAATAAAACACATTAAGTTGAATAAGAATGTCCCCATGATTAGTCTTCTTGTTTATTTTTCACAAACCAATCACATTTAAAATCCAAGTACAAAAGCTTTCAAAAGATAAAAAAAAAATTTATATAACTAATTAGACTTTGAACATGCAATCAGGGCATATAATCGTATACCTAAAAATAGCAAGGAACTGGCTTCTTCTTCTCACAACCAGAGTTCCTGAAATTTCAAAAGAAAGTAAATCCGTTAGCAATTCAGAGAATTGGAGGACCAAATTGTATTAAATTTGAGTTAAATGAGCAAAGGTACACCAATTAAATGAGAAACTAAACACATTTCAAATCTATGTAATAGAAGAACAATTATGTTAAGACTCCCAAGATGGTGTCCTGAGCACAAAATTATAGGTTAAAGGTAAATCCAAATCCAAAGCACCAACCTTTTAACCCAAAATGAAAACAAAAAGCAGGGAACATATATTTGGGTTTTATTATTAGATTTTCTAAATCCTCAATTTGAATGTGTTGTAAAGATAATACCACCAACTAAGGGTGGCAATCTGACAATCGTTGTGCATGTCATGTCGACTCTATGCAACGGAATATATAAAATAAGGACAGCAGCAAAGAGCACCCATCTCTGCATTTCCACCAACATAAACAAAAGGGTCAAAATTTGAGTTTCTGATGACAAATGACACTTAAAACGGGCTCACCATCTCTTATTACTTATTCACAGTGTATAGTAAGATCAAGTATCACATTCATACACAATAATATCTAGTATTAAAGCTCTTTTGAGTTTCACTTCAAAACCTGAAGTTACAGCTTTAGATTATAATCACATTCATACAAGATAATATTTAGTACTAAACTTTTTCGAGTTTAACTCCAAAACTCAAGTTACAGCTTTGGATTATAATGTTCCCCTTAGCCAATGATCATTCACATTCAACAAAACCATTCCATCTGCTTCATTGATAAAGATTCATCAGCTATTTAACTCTACAAATAAGATGAACATATAAAATTTTGAATTCAAATCGAATCACACAAACAAATTAGTTATGAATTGAGAACTATACCTTGCATGCAAGCCAAAATCCTGCCAAGAGGTTGGAGTAGCCAAAACCCGAACCCCTTTGCCTGCCATTGTCAATACCTGAACTGTGTTCTTCGGATTAGCCTGCCCAGTTTACAAGCGCGATTGCTGAAAAACTGAAGTGGCTTTACAATTTCATAAAAAGACAAACTTGATTAAAAATAGAAAGCCACACCTCAGAAACTATCCAATCTCTTCCCTGGATTGGATTTGATTGCCTCAGATTCTACTCTTTCAGCCGCACCCTTTGGAGTCTGGAGTTTATTTGGAAAACGTCCCGGAGTCCAGTTGTGCGGGGAGATTCAAGCAGATGCTACAGCGCAAGCCGTCAGATTTGGACAAAGTGGTGGTGGTGGCTGTCTAGAGGCATATCAAAGCCAAAATTTAAACCACAATCCATCCCAAACTCTCAGAATCAGAACAAAAAGAGGCATGAAATCACAGGATTTAAGTGAATTAAGGCAGGGATGAAGCTCATCTTATAGTCAAAATATCAACTATTGAATTCCATGTTGCTTCTGCAATCATTTACCATTCTAAAACCATTACTCTATATCCAGTCGTTGTAGCTTGCAAAGAGTTGTGGATATGAATTTTAGTCAAAGTTAGAAAGATTATGTAGTATGCAAGGCAGATAGGAAAGTAAGAGGATTTACTTTTCCACCACATCGTCACCTCTAGTTCTGTTCCAAACAACGTCCCAGTACCTGTATTATAAGTTTACATATATCAAAGTTCAAACAAACCACAGAATATGCATGTATTTAGTAAACGAAAGAAATCAGTGCTGATATTTGTATATCGAAGATATAAAACCGTGTAGTTGCCCTCTATTCGATAAGGGCACTCAAAATCGAAAGATATGGTGGTGATGCAGATGCTAAGATTAGCAATTGGATTAGCTTTTGTTCTACAATTGGGGATGCAGATGCTAAGATTAGCAATTGGATTAGCTTTTGTTCTACAATTGGGGATGCAGATGCTAAGATGGCTTTGGAAAACAAAGTAATTGGAGTCATACGTTTCCAAATCAAGAGAAGAAATGACAAAATTTATCATAAATTAGAGGCATACCTTTCTGAAGTGTGGAATTGGAATCAGCAGAAAATTGGCAGTACCCTGAAATTAACAACAAATTTAACAAATTGGATGATGAAAATCAAAACAGAGAAGCCCTAAGAAGCAATTAAAAGGGAAAGAAAGTACGTCTACGATGAAGTTCAGATTGGGAGGGTGTGATAAGAAGAAATATTGGAGAATCTAATATACACGAAATATTCAGGATAAAGAAACTTCAAGTAGACAAATATAAAGATGAATGGGAAAAAAAAAACATAAGATTCTAGAAATAGAGGAAAAAAGAAGATCGATATCTAGCACCTACACACTGTTGCATTGAGTGGGGTCAAATCCGGAAGGCAGATTTCCACTTGGGATGGGCTCCATCTGCACATTGCAAAAAGTAGAAAGAAGATAGACAAATAATTCTAGAAAACCTAAGACCGTATCACAGATGATGCTACCCCCAAATAATCTATGAAAATGCACTAAAATCCCAAGAAAAGTATGAAACCAAAGAATTCAAAACAAAATTTTTGCAACCAAAAACAAATGTAATGACAATATACATTTGCTACTTTGATAAGTTCCGGTCACCCATTCAAAATTAATTACAAACAGAATAAAATTTGAGCAATTGATAATTGTAAATCGTTTGCAATGCTGACATGCATAAGCAATTCAGAGACGATGAATAACTTTTTTTGCATATAGAAGTTGAAAACATAATATTGAGAGATTATGAGATTTTGGAAAACCAAAAAAGTCTGATTCCTAAATTAAAAGGTGATTTGAATTCCAAAGAATTTGTGGAAACCGTTGAACAATTTCCAATGTAACCTTCTGGTAGAGTTTGCTATACTGAGAAAACCCCAATTCTCACTTTAAAATAATGAAATTTAGACCTTTTTTGATACATTCATACCCCAACAGTAACAAATTTGTGTGAACAACTAAACCTATCACAACCTTACCAACACACCAATCTTCTGCACATTCTGAAACCCACAAATATATAAATCGAGACAACAGACGAACAAAAAGACAATAACTTTCCCACGTTTCCTCGGCAACCAAACAGAGATAAAGGACAAAAAATAAAAACCAACAGTAAAAATGGTAGAAACTTTCCCACATTTTCTCAGCAACCAAACAGAGAAAAACGAAAAAAGAATCAAAACCCATGTGAGAAAATCCAAAAATTTAGCCAAAGGAAAGAACTTTAGCCATACCCATAACTCCACTAACGACACTGCGGACGGCGCAGTTGCTCCAAATGTCTTGGCCGTGCATCTCCTCCACCGTAGGTGGCCGTCTGGGCTCAATCGGCGGCTTCTCGACGTCTCTCGAGGCCCTAGGTTCGTTCTCCGGATTCGAGACCATAACTGTAAAGCTTGAATGGGCAGCGAAATCAGCAACAACTCATAAATGGTCAGTTGTTTTGGAAGTCGGAAAGGGTGAAATTTTTGGATCGGTTAAAAAGGGTGGCGTTTTGGGTTCGCCGCCATAGACGTTTTGAGAGAAGTCTGAAACATATTCCAAAGAAATTATAACTTGGAATTGGTGACCCAGGGGGAGTTCTTGATAAATTACTGGAATTTGGTTGGTGAGTTTTGTTGTAAATGTTAAAAATATATCTGGGTTGGAGCTGAATAAAAAAAGATAAAGTCAGGAGCATAATGATATACATAAATGGATGCCAAAAGGGCAGATGACGCATCCCCTTTTTCCCAGAAATTCCCATCATAAGAACACTAACACTATGTTTGAGTAAAGAAATTTAAGATTACTAAGGAATTTAAAAATAACGAAAATTGAAATGACGAGATTTTATTTTTTAGAATTTGTAAATTTTCTTGTTTGGTTAACCTAAAATAACAGTGGAATTGAATACGTAATTTGTTATTTTTAAATTCTCAATCATAGAAATTGAGAAATGACACCTATTTACATGGAATTTGAACTTGGGATTTGGTGGTCCCAAATTCTAAGTTTTTTTTCCACGCGGAAATTCTAAATTTCTATGTTTATGAATCCAAACAAGAGAATTGGTGTCTGTCAATTTATAAATTCCAACTTTTACCAAAATTTCATATTTATTTCCCTCATCCAAACATACTGTAAGTTCTCAAGTGCAATATAGTTTAGGGGCCAATCTTGCTATCATAACCTTGGAAGTGCTAACATATCCCGACCATAATATTTCATCATAGCTCATGTTCAACATGTATCCAACTCTCAATAGTAAAACTTTAAGGTCTTTCATTAGGAATTGTAACTTATTGTATTGACCAAAACCCTAAATAATCAAACCAAAACATTGCTCAAGAGTTTCCAACATATCTTTTAGGGGCTTTTAGATCCAGGTTCAAAAATGTAGAGTGTTTTTAGGAGTGAGTCCAGTTATCTAATTATATGTTTTTATTTCTTTTATACTCATTTTATATTTTCTAAAAATATTAAAAATCAATTAAAATCTTCAAATATTATGCATTTTCCAACTCCAAAAGAATATATTTAATATCTTATAACAAAAAAACTAATATACTAACATAATTTATCTACAAAACATTCTACCCTAACTCAAGTAACAAATATATGAATGTATATAATACCTATACGTGAGATATGAAACCTAATTAAAATGTAGAAAAAACATAACATACCTACAAGTAAGACACATTAATCTGTGACAGGTTGATTATAAAAAAAGAATCTTTCATATAGGTAGATAAATATAATTAACCTGTGATATAGGTTGATTATAAAAATTAAAAATAAAATCTATAAATGGGGTTTAAAGTAGGAGGAAGAACGAGAAATAACAAAAAGATAAATAAAAAGAAATAAGCAAAGAGATAATTGGGAAGAAATTTGATTTTTATAATAAATCTTATCATTGAACAGATAACTATTGATAATTAAATAATTAAATATAACAAATTGGACTTATTTTAATAAACTGGACTATTCCTACTATTGGCTCAAAAAATTGGACTTATATCAAGTTTCCCCTATCCCTATCTTTTATCTTAGTGCCAGAAGGAGAACCCTCAAATTATAGCTTAACTAATTGAAAGATAAGTAGAAATAAAAATACTCATACTTACGGTCACTGTTTCAACTGAATAATAGCCACGGTCCACATAATCTCCCATAAACAAATAGTATGTATCTGGGCACTGCAAACAAAATTGCAACAACAGGAAATAAATGTTAGTTTTGGAAATTGAAACATCCAACAGAACAAACCAGAAAACTACAAATTAGGAAAGAGAAAACATCACCAATAAGTAGCAACCTATTAAGAGCTGGTTTGGTATTGCTGTGCTTTGAAAAAAAGTTGCTTCTGCTGTGCTGTGAAAATAAGCAGCTGTGAAATAAAGCAGCAGAGTGTTTGGTAAACTTTTTTGTAATAAGTGCTTTTGAAAAAAAAAAGCAGTATTAGAGTGTTTGGTAAACTTTTATGTAAAACAGATGTGAAAAAAAGCCGGTTTTTCAAAGCTGGGTTTTGCAGCTTCTTGTTTTTGGTTTTTTTTCACTCAAAACTGTGAAAAAAAGCTGAAGCTGAGTGTTTACCAATCACAAAAACAGCTCCCAGCTTTTTTTGATAGCAGTTTTTTTCAGAATCACCTCAGTACCAAACCAGGTCTAAGTATCTTATATCAATTAGATCACCGTACCACAGCAAGCACCCAGTTCCTCCATCCCGGATATCCAAATTTGTATAAGCCGTGCAGGAGCAGTTCTTCATGCACACCATCTCACATTCCTTGAGGTTCATACTTCTATTAAACCAGGATTGTTCTGTGGTAGGCAAATTCAACGCCGAGTACTTCTGGAACACGTCTCCGGTGCAATTTAGAGAAGTCTTTCTCACACAACCATTAGACCAATCTACAAATCCCATTCTTTCGGAAACTTTGGTGTAAATCCTTTCAAACAGCTACAAGCCGGGGACTTTTCAATGCTAAATGCACCATATACACCACAGAATGCATAGTTCTCACAGTTATCAATTTGGGCTGTTTGGTAAAGAACCCAACCTTTGGTTCTATCAACTACGGAGAATACTGCTGCGACGATGAGCAGCAAAGAAGAGTAGAAGAGAAGCAAGCACATCTTAGTTGAAACTTTCAATGGATTTTTCATTAAATTCATGGCAAAGCACTGAAGATCAAAGACCTCAATTGTCCCTCTACGCCCTTCTTACATGTATGATTTCGCATTGTTTTGTCATTTTTGACTTCAACATTGTTGAATAATTGGGCACATGGGAAGACAAATTGTTCTCCAGTGTGTAACTGAGGAAGTTGTTTTCAATCGGAATTTGACATCGGATTCGGTCCAAGAATGATAGTCTTAGCCTGACATTTTCCTATGACAATTAAGATTTTTCATATAGCAGTAAAATGTATAAATTAATATGTGGTCGTCCAATTCCCTCAGCTCAAGGGAAACTTAAATGCTTTGATTGGTATACTCTTTGACATCATTGTTGGAAAAATTCGACGAAGAGTGGAACCCCCACATTTGACTTGAATACACAAATGCCAAAAACAAAGTATAAAATAAGACCATCTTGGATGGGAGACGGTATGCCTTGTAACCGGTTGTATGTCCCTTTGTGTGTGTCTTTCTCTCTCTTCGCATGAATTTTTTTTATAGCGAAGTCAATATTTTTTAGAATGATTCCAGGGATGCTACTTCCTTTTTTTTTATGCCATTGTGTCTACCGTTCCCTGCCAAATTTCTTTGTAGAAGTTCTTGGCGCACATGAGAAAATTGGGTTTTTTTGGGGGGGGGGGGGGGGGTAGTTTGCCTCGTCGAATAGCATGTGAGGAGTTTCAAGCTATGGTGGATACATGTGGTTTGGTTCCGATTGATGTTAAGGGCTCCCTTTTCACTTGGCCTAATGGACGTGGCATATCATCTTATATTGAAATGTTATTAGATCGGTACTTTTGTTCTACTGCATGGCTGGTTGCCTGACCTATCACCAATTGCTCCACGTTGGTTCGTCATTCTTTGGATCATAATCCTCTTCTAGTTTCTTTTCAAAAGTTTGCAGCACAAGGTCCTACTCCTTTTCGCTTTCATCGCATGTGGTTAGATCATCCTGATTTTATTAATTTGGTTAAAAATTCATGGCAGTCTATTCAAGTTTATGGTTGTCCTATGTTTATTGTTCAACAAAAGCTCAAGTTGCTAAAGCCTATTCTAAGACATTGGAATGCTGTTGTTTTTGGAAATGTCAATGTTGCCGTGGACAATGCTAGAGAGGCTTTAGAAAAAATTCAGTTAGAAATCTCCACAGAGGGTTTTACTGATGAATGTCATGAGGCTGAATTACAAGCCCATTCTACTTTGTCTCATGCGCTGCTAGTTCAAGAAAAGTTTTGGCAGGATAAAACACGATCTAAATGGTTGCGAGATGGAGACCGTAATACGAGTTATTTTCATACTTAGACAAAAATTCGCAGGACTCGTAATTTTATTTCTTCTTTGCGTATTGATTCGGAATTGGTTAAGGATGTTGAGATTTTGCATAATCATGTGGTGGAGCATTTTTTTAATGCTTTTCATGATGATGGTCTTGCTATTGACATAGGTTTGGTTACTCGTCTTATTCCTCCTTTGGTTACTACACCTGAGAATGATACTTTATTGGCTATTCCTACATTGGAGGAGATTAAACAAACTGTATTTTCTATGAATCCGGATAGTGCTCCAAGTCCAGATGGTTTTGGTGGTTTTTTTTTCCATGCTTGCTGGGATTTCGTTGGATTTGAGGTTTCTTTGGCTGTCCAAGATTTCTTCAAGACAGGTTATATTTTACCCAATTTGAATTCTAGGTTTGTGGCTCTAATTCCTAAAGTCCAAGAGGCAGATTCTATCTCTCAATTTCGGCCAATAGCCATGGCTAATGTTATATTCAAAGTCATTACAAAGATTCTTGCAGATAGGCTTGCTCTTGTGGCTACTCGAATTATTTTGCCGAATCAATACGCATTTCTTAAGGGTAGGCATATTTTAGATTGCATTTTGTTGGCCTCGGAATGTGTTAATTTATTGGACAATAAGTGTTTTGGGGGTAATGTCGCTATTAAGTTTGATGTTGCTAAAGCTTTTGATACTCTCAATTAGGACTTTCTAGATCGGGTGCTTAGAGCTTTTGGTTTCCACGACACTTTTGTTCAATGGGTTCGTGTAATCCTTTCCTCAGCCTGGCTATCTATATTATTCAATGGTTCACCTGTTGGATTTTTCAGATGTAGTAGGGGTGTTCGTCAGGGGGATCCTCTATCCCTTCTCCTTTTTTGTCCTGCCGAAGAGGTTTTAGTCGAGGTCTAGTGGATCTTGTAAATTCTAGAAAGGTTAAATCCATTTCTTCCCCTTGGGGAGTGATTTCTCCTTCTCATATTCTCTATGCGGATGACGTAATGGTTTTTTGCAGAGGTGACAAGCGCAGCCTTATGAACCTTATGCATTTTATTGAAGAATATGGTGTGAATTATGGTCAATGTATTAGTAAAGTTAAATCTCGTATATATATTGGGAAATCGGCTTCTGTACGTCGTTTGCATATTTTATCCTGGCTCAATGTCTCTGAAGGTGAGCTTCCATTTACTTATTTGGGGTTTCCAATTTTTAAAGGAAAACCTAAGAAGGCATATTTTCAAGCATTAGTAGATAGAATACGTTCTCGTTTTCTCAATGGCTAGTCGAGTTACTTTGGTCAAGTCAGTTGTGGTAAGCATGTTGTTTCATACTTTCTCGGTTTATTCTTGGCCACCTACGGTATTAAATCAGGTTCGTAGTTGGACTCGAAATTTCATTTGGACGGGATGTGCTGATTCGTGTGGACTTTCTATTGTGGCATGGAGAAAATGTTGTGTTCCTTTAAATGAAGGATGTCTTGGCATTCGTAATTTTTCAGCTTTAAATAAGGCCTTTTTGTTGAAAAAGTTTTGGGATATTTTGGTTACCTCATCTATGGCTTCACGGTTTTTTCAAGGTCGGTTTTTTAATTGTCTTAGATAGCCGTGTACTACGTACAAGAGTTCCTCCATTTGGCCTGGTTTACGCCCTCTTTTTCCAGATATCATGGATCAAAATGGGTGATAGGTAATGGTCAAAATATTAATTTTTGGCATGCGAGATGGTTAGATTTTCCAATAGTTGATAGGCTTGGTATTCCACCAGATTTATGCAAGGCTTTTCGAGCTAAAGTTTCTGATTTTACTATGGATGGTTGTTGGATTCCCCCACTACTTTACATTCATGGCTAGCGCCCATTTGGGATGATATTTCTTCTATTGGGCTTCCTTCAAAGTATGGGATTGATGACAAAATGGTTTGGTTTTTTGCTTCAAATGGTGACCTTTCTTTATCTTTCGCTTATGATTTTAAGCATAATAAACAACCAGTGGTTCAATGAGATCAATGGGTTTGGCAATCTTGCTTTCGCCCTCGTAATTCGGTTACATTGTGGAAGTATTTACATGGTAAGATGTGAACTAATGATCTCTTGCAGCAAAGAGGTTTTGCTAGAACATCTATGTGCTCTTTTTGTTGTGAAGGTATGGAAACTGCTTCACATATTTTCTTTGAGTGCTCTTTTGCACGTCAAATTTGGTCTACTGTTTTGGAATTATTCAAAGTTCAATATTTATTCAAGATATTTTTAGCTTTTTCCATTATGCTTTACAACAATGTTTTGGTACCCAAGTGCAACTGCTTTGGTGGGGTATGATTGGAGTTGGTTTTTATTCTATTTGGTATGCTCGCAACGCTGTTCGTTTTCATGAGGAGGTTGTTTCCATCAATTATGTTGTAAGGTCTATTAAATGTCAACTCCTTAAAATTGATTCTCTCAATTCTGGTTGTATGAAGAATTTTGTGGAAGAGCTTTGCATTCTTCATTCTATTGGTGTTCGTGGACGTCCTGCTAAGGCTCCAAAAATTATTGAGGTGATGTGGTGCCCGCCTTCTTAGTCTTGGACTAAGTGAATATTGATGGTGTTACAAGAGGTTCCCTCGGTATGGCTGCATTTAGTGGTATCTTTTGGGATTTTACGGGTAATTCTCTTGGTTATTTTGCGGGTTCAATAGGCTTGGCCTCTTCTTTGGATGCCGAACTACACGCTGTTATTCATGTTGTATCTTTAGCTTGGGATAAAGGTTGGCATTCCTAGTGGATTCAATGTGACTCCTCACTGGTTGTTCATCTTCTTTCTTCATCCTCACCTTCCTTGACATCTATCCATTGGAGGCTTTTGGTCAGTTACATAACTGTCTAGTTTTACTATCCTCCATGCAGGTTCAGATTTCTCATATTTTTAGAGAGGGTAATCAAGTTGTTGATTGTTTGGCCAATTATGGTGTTGATCATCCCAGTGTCCATTGGTGGGATTCATGCCCTCCTTGTGCTGTAGTTGCTTATTCTCACAACCTTTCTAAGCTTCCTTGTTATAGGTTTTGTTGAAAGAGTTTTTGAATTGTTGTTATGAATTCTTTAATGGCCTGACTTTGATCTCATGTCCCCCCTGACATATTGTATTTTTCTTGTTTATTAACAAATTATCCTCAAAGTCTCTTCCCATGATAGTAATGCTGGAGTGGGACGGAATTTGCGGCCAAATTAAAAATAAATAAAAAACTAATAGTTGCTAGTTTGTGAGACAATTCTAAAACAAGATATTGCTAATTGTGTCAAAATTCAAAGTTAAAACTGTTAGAATTAGTACAATGTTTCACTTCCTTATGTCTTGACTTTGGTTCGAGCATATGATTATGAATAAATGCATAGTCACCAACAGGCTTTTTTACAAACCTAGTTCTGTTGCGGCCATTCTTATATAAATATCTTGCCCGTTTTCAGCAAAGTATCTTATATCAATAAGATCGCCGTGCCACAACAAGCACCCGCTTCCTCCATCCTAGATATCCAAATTTGTATAAGCCGTGCAGGAGCAGTTCTTCATGCACACCATCTCACATTCCTTGGGGTTCATACTTCTGTTAAGCCAGGATTGTTCTATGCTAGGAAATTTCACCCCCGAGTACTTTTGGAACACATCTCCAGTGCAATTTAGAGAAGTCTTTCTCACACATCCATGAGACCAATCCACCAAATCCCATTCTTTCGGAAACTTTGGTATACATCCCTTCAAACAGCTATATACCGGGGACTTTTCAATGTTACATGCACCATATACACCACAGAATTCATAGTTGTCACAATTATCAATTTGGGCTGTTAGGTAAAGAAACCAACCTTTGGTTCTATCAATCCATGTATAATGCCACACAAGTCCATCTGAATTTAACACAACCCTCGAAAGGATTGAGCTGTTGCGAAGCTTGTAACTGTAGTACATTTCATCAGGCTTAGAAACCAGACTGTATGTGTATATAGGGTTTGGATTTAACTGAGGCTTTCCATTGAACCGGACTCCTTTCCATGGTCCAGACCAAAATTTTATGACCGAACCCTCCCTCACAAATTTTTCTGCATATCCTTTGGGACCAATTGATATGTATAATTGCCTTAAGAGGATCCTGAGGACTTTTCCACGATCTAAGATGGCAATTGAAGCCTGTAACTGTGTTCCTACCAAGCTTCGTACCTGGTAAGTATGTATCACCAGGGTAATCAAAACTTTGCCATAGAAAGTTCTCAGGGGCATCATCACTCCTATCTATCACGACAAGATTACCCAAATTCAAAAGACGTGCCACTGGATTCTGTGCAGTTCTTGATGTGTTGGAGGACCAAACTGTGCACTTATTGTGATTAAAGACAAGTATTCCGGGGTTGGTGAACCTCATAACGCCAGACAAATCAGGGATGGGTGTGTCTCTGTTGGCAACCCATACAATGGTTGTAACAGATATCTTCTTGTACCATATCCCCACGTACCGTCTATTAGAAGCATCAGGATTGTAAAATCCTAGCTCAAATGTTCCGCCAGTTGAACTACAGTATCACCGTCTCTAATGGACTGAAATGTACTTGTGCTTCATCAGCTATGGAGAATACTGCTGCAACAACGAGTAGCAAAGAAGAATAGAAAAGAAGCAAGCACATCTTGGTTGAAACTTTCAATGAATGTTTCATTAAATTCATGGGAAAGCACTGAAAATCAAAGACCTCAACCTTAACCATGAACTAGCGGATGGCATGTCTTGCACCTTTTTTATTCGAAATAGCTCCAATTTGTTTATTTGTTTATTAACATAACAACAAAACACCCAGTCCTATGTCACTTCAAAGTTTCTTAAAAAGTACATGAAAATGCTCAATTCAAAAAGGATTGAATTGGAGCTTGCATAACATTCTCTTGGCAAATTCAAGTCTATGGAATGATCTCTTGGATCCCAAGTCCATGGATGGGTTGTTGTAGCAGAAAGAAAAAAAAAACAGTCATGGAAATGCTAGTCCTATACGGCATATGCAATTATAGAGGGGCAAAAGACACCTCTTTAAAAAGAAAAAAATATTCAATTAGATATGTGATTTTATAAAGGGAATGGGTGTAAAGATAATTTTACATTTTGAATTAGGTTTGAAATGGTAGTTTAAGTAATAAATTTGGGTTTAAAGAGATATTAATTCTTTAATAAAAAAAACAATATAGGTGAAGAGATAAGTTGGGTGTAGAAAGATATTAGATGGGTTCAAATAAAATTTCCCTTAATTTTTAACACACATATCTCATCATTTATATAGTGACATGTGATGTACCACTCCGTGTACCGGTCACATTGAAAAATTTCTTCTACTTAGACATGTCTTTCCACATCTCATACTGGAGAAATTTATGTAAGAAGTAGCTAGCGTTATTCACATGTTTATTTTTATCTTTCAATCACCTTTGTTAATATTTGGCCTTGATTTTCTGCAATTTACTCCATCCGATGAGCGAATATTGAAAGAATGTGTAGGAAGTAAAAATGAGCATGTAGATAGTATTACCTTCTTTTTTATACACAAATGTTATTTGGGGTTTTTAATCTGTTTTGGGAATTCAACAAAACCATCATAAAACTTATTTTTCATAGAACTTTTGTTGTTTTGTAAAAATTTTCTGAATTCATTTAAAATAGTTCGGAAAATGTTCCAATTGATGAAACTTTGTTCTAGCCACATACTAAAATCTGTTAGATTTTTTCTCCGTTGATTTTTTTTTTCGCCTTAAAAATGAACAATGTTTGGCCACTCAAGAATGAAAATGCCTCATAAACCGTTCGTAATACTTTTATCAATCCCTACCATATGTTTTTATATAGCTTAATGACTAAACAATACCAATTTTTTATTTTTATTTTTTATTTTTTGCTGAAAAATCATCTTTACGAATCAATTTATAATATGACAGTTCCAATCATATTCACAAACTTTAGTGAATTGGCCTAAAGAGTGTAGCCATGTGACAATGACTTATATAACATTGCCATCCAATTGAAGAAGTTATAGGAAAATCAAGAGACAAAATAAAGACAAAAGTGAGTACGAAAATCATTTCCAAAATTTTAGCGAGGCTCGACTAGTGAAATAGTGACTTCATTAGCTGAGCATGCTTTAGAAGAATGACCGGGTTCGAGTTCAGTCAAATCCCTTTCACTGTAAAAACCAGGTTTTAGAGGTGGGGGCAACACACCTTCACTACCCAACATTAAAACTGTAGCTGACATGCTCGGCCTGTCTTCTGGATTCCGCTGCACACACAAAAGACCCACATGAATCGTTCTTACAACTTCATGCAGAGTAACAGAGTCCTTTATCGATGCATCAAGCAGTTCGAGAGGCCTGCCTTCTGTGTGTAGCATCCATGCCTAAAACACGAAAACTACTCTACTTAGCAGAAGTAGCAGAGTCGAGTGATAAGAATTTTTAACTTGACATTTGACGCTGTCACACTCACATGTCCAAGGAGGTTGAGATTGTGGTCTGGATGAGAGAATCCTCTATTTCTGCTCCCACTCACTATCTCTAGCACCATAACACCAAAGCTATAGACGTCGGACTTTATAGAGTAGAAACCATCAATTGCATATTCTGGGGACATGTAACCGCTGCAAACCAACGTGTTAAAAAACATTTTTATATGCAAAGAATCAGACTTTCTGGTTTCTATTAGTGTTTTTGAAAATTCGGTAAATAAGAGTCATACAATTGTGTTTTAGGATACTTACTATGTTCCGACCACTTTCTTCGTTTTTGCTTTCGTTTCACTTCCTCCAAAGCTTCTAGCCAGGCCAAAGTCTGAGATTTTCGGGTTAAATTCACTGCTTAATAAAATGTTACTTGCTTTGAGATCTCTATGAATAACTCTCAATCTAGAATCTTGATGAAGATAGAGCAGCCCTCGAGCTATCCCATTAATAATTTCAAAGCACTTCGGCCAGTCTAATAACATCCTTCTTCTTTGATCTGCAAAATATCATCATTCACAATTGTCAAAAAAAAACATTGTGCTAGGCTGCTAGCATAAGCGGACTAATCAAACTAAATGCAAGGTTTTTGAGTGGTCAAACCGAAAATAAAGAAGTCTAAGCTCTTGTTAGGCATGAACTCGTAGATCAATATCATCTCGTCTTCTTGAATGCAGCATCCAAGAAGCTTCACTAGATTCCTGTGCTGAAGTTTGGCAATATGTGTAACTTCATTCTTGAACTCGTCGAGTCCTTGTCTAGAACTTTGTGAAAGCCTTTTCACTGCGATTTCTTGTCCATCTTCCATCGTACCCTGAAATCCATCAGCGTATGTTATGACCAAAATTCATACTTTGTAGTTTTCACACTACTTGTATCCATCATTCCATATTCTAACCAGAAGTACATGTATCTATACAACTTTGAAACTATGAAGGACTATCTGGTTTTACCTTGAAGACAGATCCGAAACCGCCTTCACCAAGTTTGTTTTCAATTGAAAAGTTACTGGTTGCAGAAACTATTGTCATCAAGTCAAATAACGGTAATTCCAGATCCTCCTTTTGGCTGCGTCCCAGTTTTCCTGCAAAGACGCAGTGATGAGTGAAAAAAATTCCGTTTATAACTGAACTATGTAGTTTGGAAAGCAGAGGGGCACAATAGTACGACCAACTTAATACCTTTTTGGTGCTGCTTCTTCCAAACATAAAACAGCAGGGCAAGGCCTAGGATTAGCAGTCCGGTAGACAACACAGTAGTGCTTATTATGATTCTCATTTTCTTTGCATTGGATTCAGAGTATTTAGCGTTGATCTTTGTATCATCTTCATGATCTACGAATGATATTTTTGAAGACAGAAAATCTATGAGTCGGAGACTAATAAACAAATAAATAAAAAACTGTATAAGTCTATCATCCAACTAATAGTTTCTAGTTTGTGAGACAATTCTAAAACAAGATATTGCTAATTGTGTCAAAATTCAAAGTTAAAACTGTTAGAATTAGTACAATGTTTCACTTCGTTATGTCTTGACTTTGTTTCGAGCATGTGATTATGACTAAATGCATAGTCACCAACAAGTGTTTTTTTACATACCTTGTTCTGCTGCAGCCATTCTTATATAAATATCTTGCCCGTTTTCAGCAAAGTGCCTTATATCAATTAGATCACCGTACCACAGCAAGCACCCACTTCCTCCATCCCGGATATCCAAATTTGTATAAGCCGTGCAGGAGCAGTTCTTCATGCACACCATCTCACATTCCTTGAGCTTCATACTTTCGTTATGCCAGGATTGTTCTGTGCTAGGCAATTTCACCCCCGAGTACTTTTGGAACACATCTCCAGTGCAATTTAGAGGTGTCTTTCTCACACAGCCATGAGACCAATCCACCAAATCCCATTCTTTCGGAAACTTTGGTGTAAATCCTTTCAAACAACTGCAAACCGGGGACTGTTGAATGTTACAAGCACCATATACACCACATAATGCATAGTTCTCACAGTTATCAATTTGGGCTGTTAGGTAAAGATCCCAACCTTGGGTTCTATCAATCCATGTGTAGCGCCGCACAAGTCCATCTGAGGTTAACAGCACCCTCGAAAGGATTGAGCTGTTGCAAAGGTTGTAACTGTAGTACATTTCATCAGGCTCAGAAACAAGACCGTATGTGTATATAGGGTTTGGATTTAAGTGAGGCTCTCCACTGAACCGGACTCCATTCCATGGTCCAGTCCGAAATTTTATGACCGAACCTTCCCTCAAAAATTTTTCCGCATATCCTTTGGGACCAAATTGATATGTATAATTGCCTTGAGAAGGATCCTGAGGACTTTTCCATGATCTAAGATGCCAATTGAAGCCTGTAACTGTGTTCCTACCAAGTTTCATACCTGGTAAGAATGTGTCGCCAGGGTAATCAAAACTTTGCCACAGAAAGTTCTCAGGGTCATCATCACTCATATCTGTCACGACAAGATTACCCGAATCCAAAAGACGTGCCACTGGATTCTGTGCAGTTCTCGATGTGTTGGAGGACCAAACTGTGCTCATGTTGTGGTTGAGGACAAGAACTCCGGGGTTGGTGACCTTCAGAACGCCGGACAAATCAGTGAGGGGTGTGTCTCTGTTGGCAACCCATACAATGGTTGTAACAGATATCTTCTTGTACCATATCCCCACGTACCGTCTATTAGAAGCATCGGGACTGTAAAATCCTAGCTCAAACGTTCCACCAGTTGAAACTACAGTCTCACCATCTCTAACGGACCGAAAAGTACTTGTGGCATCATCAGCTATGGAGAATACTGCTGCGATGATGAGCAGTAAAGAAGAGTAGAAGAGAAGCAAGCACATCTTAGTTGAAGCTTTCAATGGATTTTTCATTAAATTCGTGGGAAAGCACTGAAAATCAAAGACCTCAATTGTCCCTCTACGCCCTTCTTACATGTATGATTTCGCATTTTTTTGTCATTTTTGACTTAATATTGTTGAATAATTGGGCACATGGGAAGACAAATCACTAAGTTCCAAGGGAAGATAAATTGTTCTCCAGTGTGAAACTGAGGAAATTATCGGAAGCAGACATCGGACTCGGTCCAAGAATGATATAAATTAATATATAGTAGCATTATTGTTGGAAAAATTAGACGAAGAGAGCAGCCCCGACATTTGACTTGAATACACAAATGCCAAAAACGAAGTATAAAATAAGAGCATCTCGGATGGGAGAAAATATGCCTTGAAACCATTTGTATGTCCCTTTGTGTGTGTGTGTGTACGTCTCTTTCTCTCTCCACGTGATTTTTTTTTATAGCAAGGTCAATATTTTTTAGAATTGACTTCAAAGATGCTACTTCCTTTTTCTTTTTCTTTTTTTCTATGACATTGTGTCTACCATTTCCTACAGAATTTCTTTGTGGAAGTTTTTTGGTTTCTCGAAGTGTCGGTTTTTCTTGTTTGTTTTTGCTTCTGCTTTGGGTTGTTTTTGGTTGCTGATTGTGGTTGTTTTTTGCAACCTTGTTTTCTTTGCTGTCAGTTGCCTCAGTTGCTTTCATGTTGTTGGTTGTTTTTTAGTTTACTTGTACCAAAAATGTTCAATCCTGTATTGCAGTAGACATTAGAACGTACAGTAAAGCTGTCGAATCTGAATCGCAGTAGTTCAAATGTATAATCTAATCCAATTGAAAGCAAATGCAATACATTTTTCAGCTCTATTTAGATTATAATAACTCTCAATTTAAGAAAGCAAATGCAATACAGAAAGCAAATATAATCCAAATTACCTTGAACACCGTCATCATATTTTTACTCCGTTAGGTATACACGTCCTTTTCTTTCTAGATAAACTTTATTTCTTTGAAGTTTCTGCAAGGTACATTCCAATTTAACCCTTTAAATGTTTGTATAAAACTTAGGGTTATCAGGGTAGTTCTATTCTAATTTAATACATTATATTCTCGCCTGCTTGCAAGTCAACTAAGTCAACTATTCAACCTTCACATATTGTTTATTAGCTGCCAATGGACCAAGTCTTTGTAGAAAAATCACTGTATGGAAAGGGCTTAAATCCTTCAATTATGGATATACTAATGTAAAATCCTTTGTTCTAGACCAATTTTGTTCTTAGTTTTTGTCTTCTAAAAGTTGAAAAATGTTAAAAAAAAAATCTCCTTTTTTTCTTTTGATACAAACGACATTTTTTTTTTTTTTTTTTTGTATTAATATAAATTTGTTTGCACCAAGAGATGGGGTGGGAACATATCTTGAAAGATGGCCACACCCACATTTGCAGCTGAAGAACACTTTAATATAAGTTTAATTTGGTTCTATTATAGGTTTAATTTGGGTCTGTTCCACCACTTAAAATTTGCAATACTAATTTAGAACAACGAATAAGAAAATTCTACCAAGAGACAGTAAAATAGTAAATCAACTTAATTTCTGTAAAAAAAACTTGTGCAAAAATTTCATGAAATTTTGGTAAAAACGGAAAAGAAAAGGGTTAAGACAATCAAGACTAATGGAAATTTTGATATTGTTTTAACATTAAATCAGGTTGATTTTGTTCACCAGCATTAATAAAACGAATGACTTTAACTTGGGCAAGCAAACAATTAAATTAGTCGTAAGCCAAGTAACTCAGAAGTTAACCATATGAAAAAAGCAATGACAATCAAACTAACCTCTTCTTTTCATATAACGTATAATCTGTTCTCTATTTTGCCTTTGTGAAGAATGCACTTTTCATTCCCTACACACAAAATAGCATACATTGAAAATGCTCAGTACTAACGTTATAAAAACTATAAATACACAGTACTGTATATGTATCATATACCATATTGTATACATATTTGGACATAAGGTATAAAGATTTATTAACATATTTACGCTTAAATTTAACAAAAGTAATTACAAATTGAAATCAAACGATATTATAGTTGTTCAAAAAAATTCTGACTAAATTTTACAAATGGTATTATAAATTGTTAAAAAAATAACACCATTGAAAAACTCACTACTCAAATCTGCAATTCTATTAAAAACACATCACTAAAAATTAACTCCAAGGAAAGGGGATTAACAAATTATACCCTTTTAAGAGTTGGAATTGTTTTATCTATATCTTGAGCTGGACCCGCCGGATTTGAATCCTCAGTTGACTTAGAAGGAGGACAGGCATGCAAAGAAGTCCAAAGGTTAAACATATGGTAAAAATTACACCGGATCAAGGAATGATTAGAGTTGATGGATGCAATATGGAATATAAGTTTCTGGAGAGAGAGACAACCAAACTTCACACTGGATCATGTTTTTTAGAGATAGAGAGAGTTCTACTTTTCAACAGCGGAGAGAAAAAATTCAATCTTGGGCATAAAAAGAAAAAATAGAAGCTTCATAGCACAATAATTAACCACAATCCTCTGTTTTTCTAAGTGCAAATAGAAAAAAGGAATCAAAATATTCAACACAAAATCTTCACATTAGCTCAAGAACTATATTATTTCTAGATCTTTCCAATTTCCCAGCACAGAACGACAAACATAAAAGCATTACAAATATATAATTACAAAAAAAAAAAAAAAAAACAATTCCAAGAAACTAAATGCGAAGTTAGCCAGATCTGCACAGTAACACAAACCCATTACTTGAAATTAAGAGCATTGCGGCTCACCCTGAAAACACCCATTTTGCGATGAGGAAGAGAGACACGGCTGCTCTGGCTGCTGAGTGCTGCTGGCTCCAAAGCGGTTTGTCTTCCAGAACTTTATAAGAGCAAGTCCAACCCTTCAAAGCCACCGTAAATCGCCAACGATTTACATCATTCTGCTTGCCTAAAAAAAGAAAAGAAAAAAAGAAAAAAATGGGAAGTATAAAATTCAAATGACCCTTGATGAACATAACCCAGAAATTTTCCTTGTATTCCATAAATGCAATAAAACAAAAGTCAGTGTCTCCATTTTCCAAACAACCAAGCAAGCAAGCAACAAACTTCGAAAACCCTAATTAGAACCAATTTAGAACTATAACCAAGTAAACCACTTAATCAACAAAACCCACTAATTTTCTCAAAAACCCAACAAATTTAAAGGATACCCAGATGATAAATCCCAGTAAAATCCCAAATTTGAAAACCAGAAGGAAAAAAAAAGGCAAAGAGGCGTATCTTTCTTCACTAATCGGACACTAACAGAAAAACCCTAATTCATATTATTCAGATTACAAATACACAGGAACCAAATAGCTAATAATGCTGGATAATTTGTCCCCAATCCAACACAAAAACTGTTCTGGTTATACATACGATACCAGCCTAAAATATCAACCAATTCCAAATTAAAATGGAAAATGAAAAGGAGCAGCATAAATTGAATACAATTTGGGGAAAATTTGGGGGAAATTATCTCACCTGGAGCTCCGAATCTCCAAGAGGTCCCGATCCGAGCAGGCTCCGAATTGGGTTGCTGAAGATGGTGATCAAGGAAGGTTTTTGGAGGTGGGTTTGATCAGATCAAAGCCGAAGCCCTTAGGTTTTGGGGGAGAGGAACGCAGAGCCACTGTGTGTGTGTGTGTGAGAGAGAGAGAGAGAGAGAGAGAGAGAGAGCTTGCGTTGTCCTTTTCTTCTATCCAGCCACTGGATCGCAGTTCCTTCACAAAAATTATATGCATGTGTTAGTTTTTCAAGTTCTAGTTTTGCAATCACCTAATCAATCATAAAACCATTCGCAAATATGACAAACATAAACAATTAAGTCAGCAACATGATATGCCATCCCTTTCATATTGCACTTATATAAAGAAAAAAGAAATGAAGCAAAATAAAATTATACTATAATCCAATTATATGAAGGCCAAACTCTTGAGTTGGGGCTGGTGGCCGTTGACCACATCATCGCCTCCATTTGAGAGAAAAGGGTTTGTTTGGCTCTTTTGTCCAATTATTTACACTAACCATATATAAATGCAGCAGGACAACACATATGTTGCTCCCTTCTTGTGATCCAAATTTGAAGACGGCCGATGGGGAGGGGCAGTTATAAGTGTCATCCTCCTTGTTTCTCCTATCCCTGCATTGTCAACCAAAAAAAACATCAAACCACGTGCAAACAATCCAATTTAATGCTCACAAAATTTGAGCTCCAAACAAAGTCACAGGTCAGCAATCACCTAATCGATCATAACACCATTCGCAAATAAGAAAAACATAAACAATTAAGTCCGCAACATGATATGCCATCCCTTTCATACAAACACAGATTGCAATTCATATATGCCACATTATTTACAAACAAGTACAAATCAAGAAACAATTAAATCATCATCATGAATTACAGTGTAATATCAACACCATCAATCAGACGAGACAGAGATACATGGCAATAAACATATAGAGAGTAAACATACAGAGAGGAACTGCTTCAGATCCTTCCCAAAAGCAATCTTCCGCAGGATAACAAAAGAGTGGTTGATCTCTGATCTAATTGCAGAAGCAATCTGCAGAACCGACTTCTATGGAATTTGAACTTGTGAATGTGGGGTGGAGACCTGAATGTAACAAATTGGTGTTAAGTGAATAATTCCAAACATATGAAACTTAGATCATCACACCCAAACGCAAACAGAAGAATTAAATAAAGAATCGAAGGCATATGCAATTTAATTAGACAAATAAGTGAACTTTCCCATGCCATAATCCGAAAGGCCAACAGAAATCTCTCGTTACAGGACGTAATACAGAACTTAAAAGACAAAACTTAAAGGACAAAACTTAAAACTAATAAAAATTAGGTGAACCAATTGAAGAGAACATAACCCTTGTAACCAATCTGGAAAAGATGCTTTTAAATCCCAGAAAAAAAAATTATTAGGAGTTTTTAAAAAACCATCATTTCAATTATTTTCTAGTCTTACATTTGGGAAAAAACAGAAAATATAACTAAAAACACCAACTTTCTCAAAAAACTACAACTACTTTAACAAATTTCCATCACTCAACACTGAAGAATGGAACACGCTAGAATTGAAACATTAAAAACAACATGTACCCATTTCAAAGACCAAAAATCCTGCAAGGACAAAAAAAATCCGAGAAAATCAGTACATCAGTACTCCCTGCAAAACCCCAAAATCAGAAAATTAGAAAAAGAACCCAAATCAGTGGCATGGTCCTCGTTTCTCCATTAATCAGTAGGTAATGACCTAATGAAAAAGAACCCAAAACAGACAGCTTAAATTATGGAAAGTGCTTATAAAGCTCATGAATAACTTTCAGAGCCTGCATAGAAATGGCATAGTGATAGCGCAGATAATAACAGATAATAAAACTATGCACAGTATAACCTAAATCCGATATGTTGCATTCCACATATACACACATAGATATGTCTACATATACATAGATGACCCACAGATATTAACACCATGCGGAGGTGTGCACGCGCACAAACATAAAATAAACATGCATAGTTAATTTTAGACAATAATACCTCGGAACATAAGTTGCAATTTAGGACTATTTGGTTGACTCAAAAAATATTGATGGGTTAGAAAAACCACAAAAAAAAAATACAAAGACAGATGTTTTTATGTCGTTCATTTCTTGCGTCGACAAAACACACACACCTGTGTTTTAATGCTCCTCAAATACTCAATGAGAAGGCACCAGGCAAAAAGAAGGTCAAGGCTGGAAAGAAGCTTCCAAAGAGAACAATCTATAAAGCAGACCACAAAAATTAGACAAAACCCACAAACTAAACAGTAAAAAACCTCTAAAATAAAAAAAACTAAACTGCAAATACTCTATGTGCTTCCTCAATTCTAGTGTAAACCCCCAAAATAAACTGCAAACACTCTAGAAATCGTAAAATGAACTGCAAACCCATCAATCATTTCCCAAAACCACAGAACCAAGAGTTAAAAAGGGAGTGCGGGAGAGAGAAGCAGCCAAAATACAGAGAAGATGGCAAGAGAGAGAGAGAGAGAGAAGTGAATTCTTTTGGTACCTCTGGTTCCTGCCCTTGTTATTTGTTTTTCATTTCTTTATTGGTAACTTGCTCAAGTCCAAAGGCAATTAAACATAACTAGTAAAGCACCATAATAAAGCATGAGAGATATCTATTTTAATTAAATCCGTTGTGGGCTCACTGTGATTGTACATCATCATCATAAATAATGCACGCTTGAACCCCATTTTAGTTTCATGCCTATCATAATTAAATCATGGATGGTCAAGAAGCATAGGACTGAGAAATCAGAGCCTAATTTCCAATATCAAAAGAGTACGAATTATTCAACTTAAACACTAATTTCGTTAACGAAGATTAAAATAGGCACGAAATCCATACAATTTATACGTTACCATTGATTCAAGTTCTGGTAGGTATCCATGGAAACTATCTGTTGCCGCTCTCTCAGTTCCCATATTTTCTGTATATTCCATTAAACAATATAAACTTTTGATGCTCTTTCATCTGAAGCTAAAACAGATTACCAATAATAACAAAGAGGTATAAATAATAGAAATCAATTTTTTGCCGACTTTAGAGAATCTCTGCAAATTTAAGCCTAACATTATGTGATTGCCTCACTTCTTCAGTAACTCAGAGGAGGTGAATTACTCAAAGTATGGAGAACTTCTGCTAACATATTTCAAGCACTTATAACATTAAATGTAATGACAGGTTGACATTTTTTTTTTTTTTTTTTTTTTAAAGAATTGTTGCAAGAAGTTTGACCCCTTGACTTTTTATTTCTGTAAGGATTTATAGGTACATATAAAATCCATATTATATATAGTTCATAGATGAGAGTACTTCAAACACCAAATATTTATTCATGATTGGAGATAAGAAAGCTTACTGAGAGGCGATCGCCTTTGTGATGTTTACTTTTGTGCTTATCCTTTGTCTTCTTTTCTGAGGAAGAATATGTCAATGTGATAAGTAATTTCCCATAAAGAATCTCATCCTCAATAGGCTAAAAAAACTACAATGGTTAGTCAAATAATGTACTTTCATGTAGTTAATCTCCTAGGTTTGTGTTTACTTTTTCAATATCAAAACAACTCGATGAAACAACGTTTTCCCATACTCTACAAACACCAAATATGCCCGATAAACCACTAACAATGCCATTACTCTAATTCGACTGCAGAGTGAGAGTTAAGATAAGAAGATACTCACAGGCCAAAACGGACGACATCACCAACACGTAAATCGAAAAGCCACAACCAAATTTAATTTTGTTGTTACTTTGATTTTTTTTTTCTTGAATCTGTTTGGATGCTGAGAACGTGTGGGATGGGATTATTAATTACCGGCAGGGAAAGATGACAATTTCTCCCATTTGGATTTGCAGGTGAAGGAATCATAGCCGAGGGATTGCAGTCCGTCGGTGACCATCTTCCTCAAATCGTCTTTTTGTTTGAGATTCTTGTTTGCTTCGACGATCCTCGCCGTATCGGCCAGGAGGTTTCTCTCCGAGACGCTCACGCATGGAATCAGACTCTGATTAAACAATAATTAAGCAAACAATCAATCATCCATATTCATATTCATATTCTGTGTTTGGTTGCCAAGAAACCATGAGAAAATGCAAAAACAATTTACAAATCAAAAAGTGCAATCAAAGCAACGTTTATTTATAATTTTGTACCTTAAGAATATCGGAGGCGTAGCCACCGAACGAACCGGAGGAGATTGAATCACCGAAAACTCCACCGAATATATCGAGCTCGTCGTCGGAGCTGTCATTGCTGTTGCTGTGAAAACAATTGCAGCGGTTCCGTTCACATTTCGGCGGAGGCTGCTTCTCGTTGCTTTCTTCGATGAAATTATGAACCATCCTCGCCAAGCAGACCGAACTCCGCTCGAACTCAGGCCGCGGCGCCGACGATCACTTCATCCTTGCTGATATTGAGGCCGCTGGAGTGGCGAGTTGTGATGTGGACTCAGGCCTCTCGGCCGCTGGGTTTTACGGAGAAGGTGAAGACGGTGAGGGTTGAGAGAGATGCAGAGTCTGAAAGAGACTGAAAGACAGACGATCGAAGCAAAACGCGCGATGATAGACGCGTGTGCTTGGTTCAGAATGGCAAGCCCGTAAATACCCAATGACAGATTTGTCTCCCTCTCCCTCTCTCTATCTCTAATCCGATTACCAATCCGTCCCAAACCCTGCGGACAAAATTGTGGGCATTTTTATCAACGAAATAGTGGCAGAGTTGTAAATAGAATGAAATTCAGTGCAAAACACTGTTTATTTGAACAGTGCCAATTTGGAACCTTACTTTAGTCTAAAGTAAAGTAATGTGGAATCGAATCCATTTTTTACATGATTTATATAGAGTTCTGAACTACACCACAAATCCAAAGAAAACATAAATAAGAACATTAGAGGCTTGGAATCTCTCATATTTGTGTTCAATTCTAAAAGGATATATGCACCAACACGAAATATAAGTTACAACATACAATTTATTTTTTGCCTTGAAGAAGTTGTATGAAATAACGAGGGATAAGTGTGCGAAAATCATTTTCAATATTTTATCGAGCCTTCAGTAGGGAAATAGTGATTTCATTAGCCGAGCATGCTTTAGACGGCTTCAAGTTCAGTCAGATCCCTTTCACTGTAAAAACCAGGCTTTAGAGGTGGAGGCAATGCACCTTCACCTCCCAACATTAGAACTGCAGCTGACATGCTCGGCCTGTCTTCCGGATTCCACTGCACACACAAAAGACCCGCATGAATCGTTCGTACAATTTTATGCAGATGGATGTGACTCCTTTACCAATTTATCAAAAAGTTCGAGAGGCCTACTAGCCGTGTGTAGAATCCATGCCTAAAACACGAAAACTAGTCTACTTAGTAGAAGTAGCAGAATCAAGCGATAAAAAGATTTAACTTGGCATTTGACGTTGTCACACTCACATGTCCATGAAGGTTGAGTTTGTGGTTTGGATGAGAGAATCCTCTATTTTTGCTCCCACTCACTATCTCTAGCACCAAAACACCAAAGCTATAGATGTCAGACTTTATAGAGTAGAAACCATCAATTGCATATTGTGAAGATGTAGACATCAAAATTTCGGTGAAATGAATGTTGACCAATAATTAAAATTTCAACACTCACGTGTCACATAAATTTTACATGTAGCGTGCGACTCAACGAAAAATCGAAATAAATTGGAAAAGTCATCAAATAGGACACGTGTCAATACCTGGCAGAAATGATTTATTTCATCTGATTATTTAAATCCAAAAATCAAGTTTTGGAATTCTATAAATAGGAAGTCAAGGCATTCATTTGAGAGAGAAAAGAAAGGAAGAAGAAAAGAAAGAAAGAAGGGAATTTACATCACACCAAAACCTTGAAGCCTTGAAACTCTAAAGCTCTCAAGCAAAATCCCGAAGGATCAAGAAAACACTCTTCGTTCTTCGTCAAACCCTCCTTCAAGGTCAAGCCCCAACGGCCCTTGAAGAACTTCCGCCGACTCAAGATCAAGCCCCGACGGCCCCTTGAAGAAAGTGTTCATCATCCGTTCGTCCTAAGATCAAGCCCCAACGGCCCTTTGGATCAACAACCTCAACAAATCCACACATCCAATCAGTCTTCAAGATTAGGCCCAAAAGCCCTTGAAGATCCGCTCATCCATCAACCCTCAAAATCAAGCCCCGACGGCCTCTTGAAGAGATCCATACACTCAGTCTTCAAGATTAGGCCCAAAAGCCCTTGAAGATCCGCTCATCCATCAACCCTCAAAATCAAGCCCCGACGGCCTCTTGAAGAAATCCATACACTCAGTCTTCAAGATTAGGCCCAAAAGCCCTTGAAGATCCGCTCATCCATCAACCCTCAAGATCAAGCCCCGACGGCCCCTTGAAGAAATCCATACACCCAGTCTTCAAGATCAAGCTCAAAAGCCCTCGAAGATCCGTTCATCAACTGTTCATCCCTAGATCAAGCCCCGACGGCCCTTTGGATCAACAGCTCATCCACAAACCTACACCCTACGAAGATAGAATCAGAGGATCAAATAACAAAGAGATTGTAACCCCAAAATCATTAAACATAAAATATATTTTGTACACGGTATTCTTGTTTCTTGTTTCAGGAACTTTTCGTGTTTACAAATTTGGCACGCCCAGTGGGACTTCTCTACCTCTCATCTCTATCCTCAAATCATCGAAAAACGCAAATGGCATCAAGAAAGGATCAAGCTGTTCCTGCAATCAAAGCAAAGAACAAGAACATCATCGCCACAAGTGGTGATATTTCGGGCATCATAACCCGAAGTAAGGCAAGAGCTCTTTTTGCTGCAGCTTCCGCCCCTGCATTAACTCTGTCAAAGGAACAAGAGCACTTGAGGTACGAGCCTGTGATCACCCTAGCCTCGCTAAGGGCATCAAAGGGGGAAAGCCCGAGGAAATACTCAGAGTCCCTACTCTCCGACGCTGATTCGAGCGGTAATACAACCATGCAAGTCATGACCACCGGAGCAACTTCAATCGAGGAGCAGCTAGCTCAGATGAATGAAGCAATCGCAAAGCTCACACGGACTGTGGAAGAGAAGGACTTGCAGATTGCCGCACTTGTCAACCAACTAGATGTGCTGCCCGACGTGAAAGTCGACCCAAATATTGGCCTATTAAAGAAAGAAGACGACGAAGAAGAGGAGCCACCAGTGGAGAAAGTTGAAGAGAAGCTGAAGCTAGACCAATCAACGGCATTCATGGGATCTCTCTCTATCCAGCAGCTACAAGAGATGATCGCAAGCACTGTCAAGACACAGTACGAAGGAAGCTCGCATGACTCCGTACTGTACTCAAAGCCTTACTCCAAGAAGATTGATGCTTTAAAGATGCCAAGGGGTTATCAGCCCCCAAAATTCATGCAGTTCGATGGAAAAGGCAACCCGAAGCAACATGTCGCCCATTTCATTGAAACTTGCAACAATGCTGGGACAGAGGGAGACTACCTCGTCAAACAGTTCGTGCGTTCGCTGAAAAATAACGCTTTTGATTGGTACACTGACCTCGAACCTGAGTCTATCAACAGTTGGGACCAGCTAGAAAGGGAATTCCTCAACCGTTTCTACAGCACTCGTCGTACTGTAAGCATGCTAGAGCTGACCAGTACGAAACAGTGGAGAGATGAACCTGTCGTCAACTACATAAATAGGTGGCGCTCCTTAAGTCTGGATTGCAAAGATCGGCTTTCTGAAACCTCTGCCATTGAGATGTGCGTTCAAGGCATGCACTGGGGGTTACATTACATCCTCCAAGGTATAAAACCAAGAACATTCGAAGAGCTAGCAACTCGTTCCCACGACATGGAGCTGAGTATCGCTAATCATGGGAAAAAGGAGCCAATTACTAACTTCAATAAGGAGAAAGTATTCGCCCCAAATGTAGACAAGACCGGGAAGAAGCCCGCTAAGGAAGCTTTCACCGTCAACACTACCCCCATCAAGACCTCCTCAGCGCCCATCAAGATCTCCTCCAAGAAAAAAGCGAAGGAGATAAAGACAAGTGAGCCTTCTCGCACCCAAGACAGATACAAGAGCACCTTGAGAGAGTTGGAACAGAAAACGTACCCTTTTCCTGACTCTGACATGGCTGCCATGTTAGATGACTTGCTGGAAAAAAAGGTGATTGAGCTACCCGAATGCAAACGTCCTGAAGAAATGAATCGCACAAACGATCCTAGGTACTGCAAGTAACATCGTATTGTGAGCCATCCTGTTGGCAAGTGCTTCGTTCTCAAAGAACTCATCATGAAGCTAGCACAACAAGGGCAAATTGAGCTCGACCTTGAGGACACGGCCGCAACGCATACCACTACAATTGCGTTTGGATCATTTAATCATATGCCTCTCCAAATGACACCTGACCGTTCCCGTGAATGCTTAAGTTGCACGGCACCTCCTACACAACCATCACTGGAGAGAAGCGACCAAGATACACATGCTGATGATGAAGAAGGATGGATATTGGTAACCTACAAAAAGACAAGGAAACCAAGACCACAAGTCATACAGCCAAAGGTGGAACAAAGAAGAAATCACCACGGCCGCAACAATGCGAAGCCTAAAAGAAACATAAAGCATAATAAAACAACATATGCTAGGGAACCTATGGAGCAGGAGCCACGCATTCCCGTTTCCTTACGTGAGTACTTCCTGAATGACTTTTTCCAACAGTGCACTACCGTGGCCTGTCACATGGTTGAAGTAGAAATAGAAGAGCCCTCAAAAGGCAAAGCTATCGCCACTGAGGTAGAAAAGACCCTTACACCTGGAGAAGGTCTGCCAACACACTTTAGCATCGAGGAAGCGCTACCATTGCCAAAAAAGATGCGAAGAGCACTAGCAGCAGTCTTGGCAGGTTCCGACGACCACGAAGTGCAAGAAAGTAACGACGAAGGCTCGAAGCTTCAGCCACATGAATGTGCCACATGTTGTGCCACCCATGACGTAATTAACTTCACTGACGAAGACCTACTGTTGGGATCAAAGCCTCACAACCGTCCTCTCTTCGTCTCCGGGTACATAAAGGAATACAAAGTCAACCGCATGCTTGTGGATGGTGGGTCGGCCATAAACATCATGCCAAAATCAACAATGACCATAATCGGCATCAAGGTGAATGAACTATCCCTGAGCCGTCTGTTGATCCAGGGTTTTAACCAAGGAGGACAAAGGGCGATAGGCATGATCCGAGTAGAGATGACCATGGGTGAGCTCAAATCAAGCACGATATTTTACGTGATTGATGCAAGAACTTCCTATAGCTTGCTCTTAGGAAGACCTTGGATCCACGCAAATGGGGTAGTGCCGTCCACCCTTCATCAATGCCTAAAATTTTACCGAGAAGGAGTGAAGGTGATCCAAGGTGATACCAAACCGTTCACCGAAGCCGAATCACACTTTGCAGATGCCAA